AATGGCTACGGGTATAGTTTACCCATTATAAAATTACGCATATACCCCTCCCCAAAACGGTGTCGTTTGGAAGGGGTATAAATACCCTAAAATGGTCGACCTTATGGTCATTTCTCTCATTTTCTCCTTTCCCATTCTCTCTATAGCTGAGAGAGATAAGAACTCTCTCGCTTCTCTATAAAAGTCTCCGGCCGGCCGCCTTGCTCCGGCGCCGGCAGCCGTCGCTGGCCACCACCCACGGTGGCCAAATTTTACAAAAATGTCCCAAATCGAAGCCCCGATTTTTCTAAACCCTAATCCAAACTTTTTTTTAGCCTAAAACCCTTTAAATCGAAGTAGATCTAACTTTCTTTACCTTCGACCTTTCGGTTCTACGGCGGCGTATGGAGTCTCTGATGACTACAGTTTCCTCGGTAAGTCTCTTCACTCTTCTTAAGGTTGTTTTTCGTTGCTTTGTGTATGATTATTTTCTGTCGTTGGTGTTGATGTGGTTGTGTTTGATGCTCGTGCTCTTCTCTGTTCTCGTCTCTGTTCTCGTCGTTCTTCCTCTATTTTTTTTCTTTGCAGGATTCGGTGGCTTTTATAACCACCACCGAGGCTCTCATCAGACTGGGTAATAAAGGGGAGTATTCGGTGAGTCACCGAACTAGGGTGGTGACTCACCCTAGAGCAGCGACGTGGGCGGCCATATGGTGCTTCTGGAGCATTCTGGCGAGGCGTCGTGGCAGTGGAGGAGTCGGCTGTGCGGTGGCAGCAAAGGCGGCGGCCGCGTGGATGTTCTGGAAGCAGTGACGGCTAGAGATAGGGTTAGAAAACCCTAGTTGAAATCCCAAATGGTTTTGGGCTTCTCGGGCCTGGTTTGTAAATGGGCTTAGGGTTTACTGTAAAACGGGCATCAGGTTTGGGCCTATAATGTAAATTTAATAATAATTATTATTATAATTATAATAATAAAAAATTTAAAATAAAATGAAAAAATTAGTGTTTACAACATCTATCAAATTATCTGCTATGCAATTTCGTTATTTCCTTTCCCTTCTTGTCAAAAATCTAGCATGCATGTTTTGGTTTAGTTTAATGGTTAGTCGAAATCACGAGAAAAAATAATGATAAGATAAAAAGGAATTCCTTTCTTTGTTTTGACACAGCTAAAGTTCAGGTCATTTCGTTTGCAGTTTTCATACAGGCAAGAAAGACTATACATCTAGTGATCACGATCATTTCATAAATAGTATATAGTTGCAAATAACATAAAGCTTTTGGTATGGTTTAGCCTTAATTTGCAGTAAACCATGGTGCTCAGCTGGTGGAGTGATCATGCTTGTCCTGAATAAAGCATCTCTTTGTTCCTACAATCAATTTATTTTCAGGGTATCAAAATGTAATTTAAACCCACTTTTTTAAAGTCTCTTTGATCGAGTGAGTTATTTGACCAGTAAAAGTAAGACCACTTATTGTTATTGGCTTGTTTAGATCAGATGAAAATATAAATATATATTTATAAGAACTTACTTTTACTGAAGAGAAAAGTAGGCCTCATTTTCTGGAATGTTGAAAACTGGTAGATTTCAGTTTTGTATATAAAATGGGCTGAAACAGTAAAAAAATCTCTATTTCTGGGAAAAGCTTCATGTAAAGAAAGTAACTTTTTTGTAAAATGCAAAGTTTTAACAGAATCTACTGATTTAAAGTTCTGGTGCTCTTACTGGAAAAAGTTTTATTCAAAAAACTTTGGGGTTTCTTTGTTTTCAACAGAAATTGACTTTTTCAACTTAGCATCAGTAAAAAAAACTTGATTAAGTGGTAAAAGATCATTGTCAAATGCCGAAAAGATGCTCCATGGGAGCTGGCAAGTCTTTGTAAAAGAGACTGCTTTTGTCCCAGTCCAAGGGGAAAAGAGAATTCAAGCAAACAATTTCTGGATTCAATCAACTCCAATCATGCAATATATTGAGCAAGTACAAAAGGAAAAGCCGTATGATGACTATGATCTTGAATGATAAACTTCCATGGAAGAATCTCTACTCTTTTTCATTGTTATTTGAACAATGGGTTTTTCAATATGTTCTTCCAGAGAATCGTATTACAGGAACATAAACAAATTAATCTGAAAATGACACACTTTGGAAGAATGTAACAGGAACTGGCTACAATTTTCATGTTCATATGCTGCACAGTACTGGTTTTTCTTGGTCCCCAGTAACTGAAATCTTTGAAGCAGAGAGTTAACAAAGGCTAAGTTCAGTTGCAGGTCTTTCTTGAACCAGACAGCTGCTGAGACTGCTTACAGTGAGCAATTGCTCCCTCGATTGAATTTTCGATCTCCAAATTCGTGCTGGTGCTTCTTTTCAGAAACTGTAAATCATAGAATCCACTTGAACTGAATGAAAACGATGAAGATGATGATGAGGAATTCGATGAAGATGCTGATGTAGATGAAGACTTTGCTGTAGAATGCTTTTGAATTATTCTTGAGAAAGACCTCCTATGGCTGTTTGCAGCATCCTCAGCTAGCTCATTATCAATGCTCTTCATAATAGGATCCGATATCTTATATCTGTCATTATCAATCTTCCCAAATGAATTCTTCTTTGACATCTTCATGTACTTGTCGACACAATCTTTATTTTTCGAAACATTACCTGCTTCCACATTACATGCTGCTTTGGCACAAGATTCATCCGAACAGCCAGACTTGCTAAACAAAGACTTGAGATACGCCTGAGACGCCTTGAGCTTTCGACTTATCGATGATTGCTTGATCTTCTTGAGCTTCCGGGTCCAAGAAGTCTTCGAAACCGAATCATCACCGATGAAACCATTCATTTCAGTCGAGCATTCAAAAAGTAGTCATCTGCATTAAGTTCACTACTCAACCGACAGGATTCTGATGGTGAGATGCTTGAGATTTCTTCAAAGGGTGCTCGAGTTTTGCACTCGTAGGCAGTGTTATCGGAACTCTGCGTTAGCTTCTGAACCATTTGCAGGCGGGGAGGGAGGTGGAGGGGAAGGAGCTTGCCCTTGTAGAACAATTCATCAGCTGGATTAGTTGAAGTGAATTCTCCATTTGGAGAAACTGAACACAATTGGAACTCAAACTCTCTACTTTGAGATGGAGAGCATCTGGAATAACACAAATAGTTGGAGGGTGAGCTTACTTCCATATCAATGTAATCTTCATCTGCAAGGTAACTGGCCATCATTTTAACTCTCAAAAACCTCACTTTTCTGAGTTTTCTCACTTGTTTTGAGCTTATGGGAAGGTGAGCTTGGTGATGAAAGAGAGGGGTATCCTTTAAAGTGAAGATGGAGCCAAGTTAGATAGAAAAAAATATCATAAGGAGTTGTCAGATCTTTTCCACTTCTTTTTTCTCCCTTGTAATAATATCTTGAATGGTTCCAAACAATAAAATGGCAGAAAAAAGTCTGGATTTTTCCCTTCAGTTTACGTAGTATTTGTTTTTGCTTTTTTTTTTTTTTTTGTCTTCAATTCTCCATCAAAATGACATTGGTTTTACACTTCTACACCATTTACCAATTCTGAAACTGAAGAAAGCTAAGAATCTTGTGATTACCACAGTTATTTAAATTCATTAACCAATGAACTTGGAACCATGTGATCAAATCCCTATAACACAAGAAACTGTTGTTTAGTGAAATCCCATGCTTTATGTACTTTGAACTTGAAAAATGAGGTACAGAATGTGTAAGAATCTTCCAAAGTACACCACAAGAAAGAAGAAGGTGGCAGTTCCCTTTGTTTTTGTTGAAAGTTTCATTGTAAGCGGTTGCATACATATCTCTTTTAATAGGGTTGAAGAAAATGAAAGTAGAACAGAAAATAGATCAAAAGAGCTCATATGGATTTGAAATCATATGATAATGACATGCACTGATAGTGTATCCACTTGGGAATTCTCAAGGATTTAAGCATCTGTTGCCTGTCTGCCTGCGTCTTAACTTGTATTCAAGAATATTGTGGATTGAACCTTTTTTTTAAGAAAATAAGATTATTTACTGAACATAAAACAAAAGACCAATCATAAAATAGGGTTGCTGGTTTATGCACATCCACAAACTTCATTCACTGCAACATAATTTAAATTTGAAAAAAAAAGGAGAAACCAGGCAGTCATCCCTGTTTCCGAAACCTGGTTTTTAGCACCGTCAAGTTTTACCAATACCCTGATAAATTAGAGGCTAAGACACACACACACACAGAAAGCTATTATTATATTGAGCGTTTGAATTAAGTTAAGCTAATATTAAATGTATGATAATGATGTATTATATTCATTAAACGGTCTTGATGGTAGTAGAAAATGTTGTTTTTCTTAAACATCTCGAATTTAAACAACTGAATTCGTAGCGTGTGTATTATCAGATACTATTTTTTTTAAAACATACTGTGTTATATTCATCCTGCAACATTTAAGAATGTACTGCCACATTAAATTAATGATATAGCACGATAAGAATATTATAACAATTTTTAGAAAACGATGATATTGAGACGCTAGGACACAAGGATAAAAATAATTGAATAAAGAGCGCAAATGAACTCTTAGAAGGTGTTTTTATTGAGTTTTCGATTATAAGATAATACAAAATGATTATTTGATTTAGAAAATAATAAATTAATCCAATACTGTTAAAAATTTAATAAAAAGACCTAACAGACTTGATCAACCTCATAAACACTTCTTATTGAATGCATTAATTTTCAGGAATATTTTGATATTGTTGCTGAAATAAACCCTGTTGACAGAAGTGGCATTGTACATCCAGCTTTTCCTGGTAAAATTTTGCATATATATATATATATATATATATATATATATAATATCATAGAAATCAACAAACAATGTTTTTATCTCTATGGTACATACAATAATGGGAGGCAATGATTTTGATTTTGAAGGTTACATTACAGATGATATTATATGTGTGGAAAACATGATGAATGTCCACAACAATCTGTTCATCATCTCCAGTAACTGATTGGTAGAAGTAAAAGTATATCCCTTTAAGCCACCAACTATCTCTCTAAATATCCGGTAATGGCACTTTCCAAAAATTCCATTGGTTATAATCTTCCTGCAAACGTATTGGGATATTAGGGATACCATTGAAGGCTCTAAAACAATCTAGACAAGAGTATGCAATGACAACTTTTTTTCGCGGTATATAAGTAGAGGGGAGACAAATATACTCCTTACTTGCTCAACCAACGAGGCCGGTGGAAACATGTCGTCGACAAGAGTATGCAATGATGTGTAAGACCTTGCATTGTTGACACAATGACTAATAGCCACCTCACCCTGCAAGTTTAAGAGAAAGATTTAGAAAGTTGGTCGCAAAAGCATGATAGGTCCCGGTTAATTTTTCACTCTTTTTTCTCATACCATACTGTTGTTGTACCTTAGGGTTAATTATAAAGATCTTGCCCTTTGGGATCCCTATTTTTAGATAACTGAGTTCATCTGTGTCTCTGTTTCCAAAGCCAGCATAAAAGGGATTATGATCGGAAGGGAAAAGTTTCTTGATATCCTACAATGCATATATAAGAAAGAAACCGAAGGTGAAAAAACTGATCATCTCCTAGTAATAGTTTCAATCTATACTGAAAAAACAGGGTTTACTATTTCAGAATTTACCTCCAAACAAGCTATTTTGAATTCGTGAGGCGCTCTTCGTATCACTGCCATGAATAAGGAGGAAATTGTCGACAAAATCAGAACGACACGCATATATTAGTGCAAGCTAAGATGATACATGCAAGTACTTGAAACAAGAAGCTGGATAAATCAATAGACAATATCAATCCAAAAAAAGAAAAAAAGCTGACCTTACCTTCACGGTACAACGAAGGAAACAAACCATCAGGGGAAATAACAACAGGCCCACTCGGTAAAGCTTTCCCGTCCTGCATAAACAAAGCAATTAGATAAAATGTGATTATGAACTCATAATTTCAAAGTCATTGAAATAAGAGGTTAAGTGCATCAGAACTTGCACTATTCCACTACCTGTTTCAGGTTGAGTAAAAAGTTTCTGGTTATATATGCTTGAACAATTGCACGTGCACTAAGAAATAGCAGCTGATATCCATTCTCCTGTTGTGAACACAATTCAGTAATGTATGTAACATACCAATGAAATCACTTTGCTAACATGCATGCAAACATATGTTAGTTAATGAAATCACTCGAAGAAGCGCATTAGGTTTCATAAAATGATAAAAATGATAACCACAACAGGTGACAATAAGCGTTCAAACCAAACTCCAAAGTGACTCGATATTGACACAGTGTTCCATAGAAACAATATTATGTTTATGTATGCCAAAACATGGTAGTAAGAGGAAAGTTAAGGAGCATAATCATATCAGAATAGTGTTCACATCATAATGATCTAATTTTGAAGAATATACCATCACTTCACATGTTTGTGAATACAAAAGGAAAGGAATACTGCAGAAGTCATTTCATGGATCTAGTTTTGCACAACAATCCGGAACAGAATAAAGGTCGATCAAATCAAGTTGAACAGTAGAACATATGAGAGAAAGCACACCTTAATAGCAGAGAAAAGTTTAGCTACACCAGATTGTGTCCAATCCCTTCCAACTAGTGGCATAAACTGGCCTAAAACGTCAGACCTGAAATAAATGTGTCAAGATTATTGAGAGGCACACCTTTTAAACGTAGACATGATCGAAACATGTTCAAAACAAGGATTTCACCATAAATCAATTGGCGAATGACAACTTTGAAAAATGCTCATTGCTGCTTTAGTACTAAAGATCATAAGGGAAGAGTTTATTTCAGCTTGAAAAGTAAGTAGATGGTTTATTTATCGCCTCTTATTTTATAATCCGTTTTAATTTGTTGGTTCCTTATCATACTCATCATAATGATGCCTAGTAAGGAAACCGTCTACTGTTTCTAGAATATACATATCATAATAAAAACTACAGGTGAGTTTAGACAGGTTGCTAAACAAGACATTAAATAATGCAGAAATAACATCAGGAGGAAAAAAATCCCTACTTGGTAATAGTTCCGTCGACATCTGAGATTACAATCTTATCGTTCCACTTCCACAGGTAAAGATGAGCATCAACCTGTTAAAGTGCATATGTTTTACATACTGAGCAAACACAAACCTTGCAAACCTGCAAGAAGGATTGAGTAATAGAAAACTGAAACCTGTTGATTTCCGAAAACCCTGGTGGAGAAATTGAAAATAACCATATTTTGACCATCTTTTAGATTCAAGGAAGCTATCTGCTCAGTAGTGGGAACATTTGTTCTAATAAATTGCTTGCGGGAAGAATCAAGAGTTGAACCTGCTTGTGAATTTTGTAGATCAGGTTTAGTATCAACAAATGCCTGCCCATTTGATGAATTGACATCAGTGTTCTCAACATTTTTGCCTTTCATGAAGGGAATAGGCCACAGCTTCCATCTGCGGGTAGAAGCTGTAGAAGTGACTGTAGAACCATCACCCTTCGGGTTTGATGGCTCAACCCGTTCAACAGGGACTCTATTTTGGGGCTCAACGATCGACTGTGAACCAGATGCATTCATAATAACTGAACTTGCATTACTTTTGTTTTCCTTATTTGGTATGTGGTGTGCTTCAAGGACTGCTGGAACAACAACCTCTAATCCCATACCTGCATGAAGTTTTTTTCAACAAAGAGACATCTCAAATCCTGGAAAGACAAATTGAACAAGAGAAACTAAGTATTCCATGAGAACCAAAGCAAGATAAAAGAGAGGAAAAGGACCTTAGTTCCTTACCCGGATTAGAATAATCCCCTGTCTCTTTACCAGAAGTATGTTCAGTTTTGACATTCTCACTTTTTCTATTATTGTTCTCAGGTTCAAGACTTTGTCGACTGCTATTTATCCCTTCAGTTGACACTGATGCGCCAAACCGTTCAACGCTCCTTTGAGACTCATTACCAATTGGTCCATTATCATTGGAGGAAGACGACACATCTTCAATTTTGGAGCCATCAACAGCTCCATGTTTGTTTTCATCAAAGTCTGAAAGGATGCAAGAAAGTTTATCTTGAGAAATGTAATCTTTCAACGGCCTGTCCGTATCTCCAGGATCACTGTTTTCACTGTGTCTGCTCAATTCAGATAGTTCGAGGCAGCTCTTATAAACCTCCCCCCTTTTTATAATTAATGATTCATCTCCAACATCACTTGGCCTGTTAAATTCACTTTGACTGTTAGGATAGTCTGAAGTTTCTTCAGATCGACAGCCATCTTGACTAAATTCTGAACGGCGTCTCAAAGCAGTTGAATCGCTATCCGCAGCACCGCAAATGTCATGAGAGGAACCCTTATCCACTACTGAACTGAGCTTATTAGTACAATCAGTAGCACACACATTGTAACCTGAAATGATCTCCTCATTACCGTCGAAACACTCAGGTCCTTCATCTGGTCCTATGTGGAACCTGGGTGTGCTTAATTGCATATCTTCAGCATTTTGTTCTGATTCTGAGGAAGGAGCCGCAAGTACATGACCATCCACACTGAACAACAAAACTTCTGAATCTACATCTTGTGCTTCACCATGACAATTACCCTCCAAATCCTTGCACTGACCGGGCGCCACCGAATCCTCTAGAGTGGACTGCTCATCTTGAAATTCATAGAACCTAGTATCGGATTCCGTCCTTTCAAAACGTTTCGGACTAATGGCTTCTAATTCGTCCCTCAACACAGCCACCCTGGACTCTGAGACACTATGTTCAAGTCTACAAACTTGAGCACTGTGCTTATCACCATCATCCTGTGTCACTTGACAACCAGAATCATTCATCCCTCCATTCGTATAAAATCCATAACCGGCATCGACCTCCCTCACGAAATACGCTTCACCGGAGTTGTCAAGACACATATGAAAATCGGCTTCAACACCATTAACAGTTATACCAACAACCTTCTCAGCCCCTTTCAAAACACCCTGAAATTTGCCGAACCGAACATACCACGGCGTGCTTCGGAATGTGCCATCTTTCTGTTGAACAACGATCACATCAATAGCCCCGCCAAAGGGATGGAAAGGGGTAGCAACAGAATATACACCTTGTGAAATTAAACTCCCTACTCTGCCAACCACATTCATTTGTCGAAATGTAATCCTTTTTTTTTTATCAAATTCAAGGAAAAATAACAAGAACCCTTTATCGGATTCTTTATTTTCCTAATAAATCAAATAACTTTCGTTCCTCTCAGTGGTTTTCACTCTCTATTTTGTGGTATCTGGATTCATTTAAAAGTTAAACCAAAAACACAATGCTCCCCTTCGATCAGCAAGAAATCCCAGGAATCTATCAGGTACCAGTTTCATTCAAAATCTTGAAATCATGCTTCATAAATGAACCCAGTACAGAATGTCGTAACATATTCCTTAGAATAGAAAAGGGACGAAAAACAAAACAAGTTCAAATTTTGGAAACAAAAAAAACTGGAATTGCTTATTCCGCCAATTTTCTCGGCAATGAAACAGAAAATAAAAGTTGATTGTCGAATTAAGGCGGTCAAAGGAATTGATAGACAGACAGCAATGCATCTAAATCTATTTTGCTAATTACAGGACATCAAACTCATTGATCAAAACTAAAATGGGCACACTAGAAACGTGGGTGGAAACGAGAAAATTTATCTTAAACTTTTAGATGTGCTTAAAATTGAGGGCAGCCTAAGCAGGATGGGGAGATAAATAAATTTAATTTTTATTTTAATATCATAAAACACACTAAATATATATATTTTTTATTTTAAAAGTCGTATATATATATATATATATATATATATATATATATATATATATATATATGTGTGTGTGTGTGACATACCAGATTAGAAGAGACAAATCTTTAATTTAAATCAACGGAAAAACATAATTGATGTAACATTCAATCTTATAACTTTCTATTTAAAATAATTAAATATTTTTTATAATTTTTAAATAGGTTTTATATGAATTTTAATAATATTTTCGATTTTTTTAATTTATTAATATTTTTATTTTAAATGATAAATGACTTCTTACATAAATTTCGGTTGAAATCACTTTATGACATTCTCTCAACTAAGGAGATAAATATTGTACCTCATTCGGGTCTCTTTCACAAGTTACGTCTCTGCTATCACTCCTCTGCCTATCAAAACTTTTGGAGGAACTCATCTACCGATCGAAGCTGTCGGAGTCACATATCCTCTGATCATCCACAATAATTTGAGATGATCTGTGATAGGTTGACGTGATTTGTCAAATTTAAATCTATTATCAAACAGTCATATCAATTCACCCTATCAACTTACGAGTAATTGTCATGATCCTAGACTTGACAAATATTAAGAAGAGTCATTTTATAAATCCCTCTTTCAATTAGACATCACTTGTAATCCTCGACTTATCACTCTCAACATGATCATTGACAACGACTCTTCATTCAAATCAAAATGAATAAAATACCTATAACAATCACAACCTATATCTTAAATCAAAATAATAATTAGTCGATACCTCTAATATTAAATTAGACCATAAGAATCTATAGCACTTGTTTGATTCATAAACTTTATAAAATTTTACATTTTAAATAATTAAAAATATATAAAGAAATGATTTATGAGAATAATATTTATTTAAAAATTAATCATGATAATAATATCTAAATTAATATATATTTTTTTAAAATGATATATTTTAACTGATGATAAAGACGTGGATTGCAATATGAACCTGCTATTAAAAGTAATAATATTTAATCGTTTAATTCTTTTTTATTTTAATTATTTTATATTATCTAAATTATTAATTAATTGTTATTTTTATTTTTCTCATGTTTTAATGAACTCTTTTATTTTATAATCTTAATTCATTTTAAAAAATAGTTCATATAATTTGTATCTATAATAATTTAATGTGTAGTTTAAGCAACCATTAGTTTTTCATAAAAAATGATATATTTAGAATATATAAATGATACGATACTATTTTATAATTTTTAATATTTAAAAATTCAACCAAACAGAAACCTTTAATAAAAGAATATTTTATAAATTTTAATAATTAGATAATTTAATAAAAAAATACCTTCTAATAATAGATTATTATGTATTTTATCTTAATTTTTAAATAGATATTATTATAATAATAATAAAATTGCCTATTTCTGGTTCCGCAACACTAGTCGTCTAGAATTTCATTGACCTTTTACAACTTTTTTTTTCTCTGATAAAACAATCGCAATAACAAAAAAATCAAATCGATGTCCTTAGCCTTTTAAATTCAGTCACTTTCTCCATTTTCCTTCCCGTTCAAGCCACCCCGACCGCCGTGAATCCTCCCAAAATGACGAAATTACCCTTGCGAATCCCAATCTTCCTCCTCCTCTCCATCATTTCCTCCACCACCGCCGAGATCAAAACCCTAACCATTACCTCCGACTCCCGCCCCATGATCCTCTTCGAGAAATTCGGCTTCACGCACAATGGATTCGTATCCGTCTCCGTGTCCTCCGTCGCCGTCACTTCCTCCGCCAATGACCCCAACCCCGACGCTTCCCGCCTCGGCTTCTTCCTCATGTCCGAAGAAGCTCTCCTCCAAGTCCTCCTCGAGATTCAACAAAATTCTCACTTCTGCGTCCTCGATTCTCGCTACATCCAGCACCTGTTCACCTTCGCCGATCTCTCCCCACCTCCGCTCTCGCGTTTCAACCGCACTTACCCCGTTTCTTCCCCCAACGAATACTCCCTCTTTTTCTCCAATTGCGCCCCCCAAACCCGCATTTCGATGAACGTCCGCACCGAAATCTACAACCTCGACCGCAACGGTTCGAAAGATTACCTCTCCGCGGGTCTAACCCACCTCCCTTCCCTTTACACCGTCTTCTCGATCTTCTACTTGGTCTTCTTGGGGTATTGGATCTACGTTTGTTATACCAATAAGCGATCCGTACACCGGATCCATTTATTGATGTTCGGATTGCTTTTATTCAAAGCATTGAATCTGATATGCGCCGCCGAAGATAAGCATTTCGTTAAGGTCACCGGAACTCCTCACGGTTGGGATGTTTTGTTCTATATTTTTCAATTTATCCGCGTCGTTTTACTTTTCACCGTCATCATTTTGATCGGCACCGGTTGGTCGTTTTTGAAACCATTTTTACAAGAAAGGGAGAAGAAGGTTTTGATGATCGTGATTCCGCTCCAAGTTTTTGCAAATATTGCTTCGGTTGTGATCGGAGAAACCGGGCCATTCATTAAAGATTGGGTGACATGGAATCAGCTGTTTCTGCTGGTTGATATCATCTGCTGCTGCGCCATTATCTTCCCGATTGTTTGGTCGATTCGATCATTGAGGGAAACCTCGAAAACCGATGGCAAGGCTGCCAGGAATTTGGCGAAGTTGACACTGTTTAGGCAGTTTTACATTGTGGTGATCGGGTATTTGTATTTCACAAGAATTGTGGTGTTTGCTTTGAGGACGATCGCCGCTTACAAGTATCAATGGGTTAGTAATGCGGCGGAGGAGACAGCTAGTTTTGCATTTTATTTGGTTATGTTTTACATGTTTAGGCCGGTGGAGAAAAATGAATACTTTATTCTTGACGATGAAGATGAAGAGGCTGCTGAAATTGCTCTCAGAGATGAAGAATTCGAGCTCTGAAATACAGGGGCTGCTGGAACGAGAATTCACACGAGGGTATGGGATTAGTTCGAGGTTGGTTCTTAGTGAATTTTACGGATACAAAGCTGCTGCTCTTCTCTTGTTCTTAGTATGTTTAACTTGTTGCTGAAATTTGAATATGTTTTGATTGTTATTATATTTCTACCTCCTGTTCTTATTATGTTTAACTTGTGACTGAAATCTGTATTTCTTACTGCTTAATGAGTTTCTCTTAGCTGGTTGAAATTTAAAAACAAGCGTTCAAGTTTCTTCTTCTGTGCGATGCTAGAGATTTATGTGAATTATATTAAGATTTAGATGCATCTAATGAAATGCTATGTCCAAAATATTGGTTTGATGCTGGCTTGAGGTGTTTTTCACTTCTCTGATAATGTAAATTTGTCAATTTCTCATCTTTATAAGGTATTATCCGACTATCTGTTTAGAATTTTTCTTAGTCTATCGGCAATGCGCGCACACTGTAGAAGCTGCTCTAATCTGATTCCACTAAGTAGGTTCTTTGGATTATTGTCTTGAACTATTATTGTTAGTCGATGTTTGGAGTATATTTTGGTTTGATGCGTGCAAGTCAATTGAACCAGCGTTTTGCTGTTTCAACTTTTGACCTTTTCATTTATGTATTTGCAATCGGTCATCTCAGCAATTTGAATGGTAATGCCTTGTGTTTGTTTGTTTCTTCTTGGCAGTGCTCAGCTTGAATTTATGTATATTTTGTGGTTAAACTTAGAATTAAGTCTGCCTAATGAGTAATTATTCTTTTGATTTGGCGTATTGCGTTCAACCAATTAGCAACGAAGTGGGGATAAAAGTTGTCAAAATGCACTGGTAATTGTCAGCTTTTTTATTAAATGAATTCCTTCCAAGTTCCATGATTAAATTCAAATATGATTAACCATAATAGTCAACACTTTGAACATGTCCAACCTGAAATACAAACCAACATCATCAAGCACTTTGAATTTTAAACAATTTAAACCTAAGTCATCAAAATCAGATTAGTCGAAATTGAACTTTAGGTTGACGAAAAATATTTTCTTGAAAAAAATGTGTTCGAAAGAAACAAAGTAATTCTTCTTAGAGATCATATATTTGAGCACCAATGATCGCAGTAATGTGATTAAATGTTCATTGTTAAATGGTTGATAGTATTTAGAACAATACTATTTTATAATATCTTTAGCTTAAAAAAAAGTTATTTCAAACAATAAAATATTCTTTTATTAAAAGATATTTTTGAATTTTTTTATTTAAAATGATAATTTTTAAAAGCATGTATTTTAAATTAGAGTAAAAAATACGTGTTAATAAGATTAAAGTAGTTTTATAGTGTTCTGTTTTTTTTTTTTTTTGAAAGTTATAAGCAGGGATTTAAGGTTAGCATGTGATCCGTTGAATAAATATAATTTTTATTAATGAAATGAACTGATTTCTAAAGTTAAATGTTTTTCAATGATTTTTTTTTTTTAAGTTTTTAGGGAGGAAAGCTCGTTCATTTGATTTTACAAGGGATACTCATCTATTATTATGAATGAGTAATAAGATGTATAAGTTTACAACCCACGTCACATACCGCAGTGTATTAACAAAACAGAGTATCGAAAAAGATTACGTGTAAATTTATCTTTATTATGAAAATATCAACAAGTGTAAGAATTTATTTAAAATTAATCACTTGTTAAAATTTAATTTATACTTAATAGAATTATAATGAAATTATATTTTTTTATTAAAAACAATAATTAATTTAAATAATTTAATTTGTTTAGAGTTAGGATTTTTAAGTTATATAAGTTCAATCAGCCATCAACATTAGTCATTGCCAGTGATCACCTATTTTAACTTCTAATTATGAATTCTTTTAGAATTCATCTCATCTTTTCATTTTATTCTAAATAGTCCTTTTCCCTTTAACTTCCATTCAAGCTTCAATTAACATAATTAAAAAATTTCAGCATTTAATTTCCAACCCAATAACTCAACAATTCTACTATTACCACTTATGTCACTAACTTTCTCATTATTTGTTATTTTAATACTCAAAACTTTTCTAACTTCCTAAAATAATTTCACATTCTAACATCAAATTCATCACTCTAACATTTACTTCCACCATAGTACTTCATTGTATTGAACAATTACAAATCAACCCTATAACTTTTTAAAATTATCGAATAGGTCTCTCAACTTCAACAAAATTCCAAAATGATCCCAAAATTTTTCTAAGGACTGTAGAATCCTTCCTACCTCATTTCCAACCCATACATAATTTTTCTCACTTCCTAAAGCTTAGGCCGAATGTTAGGGGAGCAGGTTTCTTGATTTTTCACTTGATTTTAATTTGATTCAAGCATGAAATCAACCTCTATTCTACATTTCAAAACTTCTACAATCAAACCCCTAATCTAATTTCATCAAATTAAAAACTTTTCCAAATTAGGGTTTAGGCTAAAAATCATTAGTAGCTTTTATAGGTGGTTTAGATCATCGCATAAGCTTGGAAATAATTATACAACATCAATCACATCTAAATTCATTGTCAATTCATGAAACTCTAACATGAACATAAACCCTAAAATTTAAGATCTTAGTATTCAAGCAAGATTAGCATGCAATAATGATACCAAATGATAGAGCTCTTTGAATAGAACATTTTTTCTATTTTACGATTTAACCCAAAAATCAAAGAAAAATACTTAAAAATGAAAAATAAAATTTATCTTACCTTTAGTTATGAGAGCGCATGAAATGAAAGTTGAAGAAGACTTGATTTCCATGAAATTTCTAATTAATTTCATGTGCATTTATTATTTATTAAGCTTAAATTAATTTAAAATTAATGTAATAGAAAATAATAATTTTACTATTAATAAAACTTAATAATTACATCCATACCAAACCAATGTTATTTATCGTCTTTTCAAAATCAAAGATGAATAAATTAATTCACCTTTTACAGCTTTACCCATGCATTTTCCTAAAAAATTTAATCTTACCACTTTTCATCTACCGATTCAAATTAAACATGAAAATAAATTTTCAATCCAATGATCTATATTATTTCCCATCATTTTAAAATATAGACATATTTCTAAGCTTAATTTAATATCTTTCAATTTTCTCATAATTTCTATTCGATCCAATTTACCGAATTTTTACCAAACTTTAATATTTAAAAGATTTTAACACAAATTTCAGATCAATAATTTGATTCCCACAAAAACGTCAAGAAGGTGAAATTCAACTATTCATTTGGGGTCACAATACATAACTTCTATAAATCACACTTTTGGTCCCCTTAACTTTTGAAAATTACTACTTTGGTCCCTAAAGTTTTCCAAACTTTATAATTTAGCTACTAAACTTTCAAAATTTACATTTTGGTCACTAACCAAAATTTTGGGTATTACATTTCTCCACCAGCCTTTCCATCAATAGGAGCTTCCTGAAAAAAAGGAGGGCATACAGAAATCAGTATCTCAGACAGCACCTTCAAAAATACTTGAATTCGCCCAAATTTGTCAGGAAAACAAACAAGGCCTTACCGGCTCAAGGTTTACCTTGCCATTCTCCTGTGATAAAGAATTAGAAGAAGGATTTGAAAACCTGGAAAGACCAGAAAATATTAAATTTCAATTTCAAGGGTTAAAGCTGTCCAATAAAGATTTCTGGAGACAATTATATATCTAAAAAATGTAGGGAACAGTTCTTCAGCATTGGAACATACCTGATTGCCCTTGCTTTTCTTTTTTCTTCCTCAACTGAATCAGGTTTGGAATATGGTGCAAATCTGGCAAGACGACCTTTCTTCTTCGCATCCTCATCAGTAGCTGTAGAGGGTGCAGCAATCCCAAACCTGAGAACCACGAAAATAAAATAAAACTAACTAATAAATACAGCTGCAATCTAGAATATCACTGGGTAAAGGTGGTATGGAATAAAAACCTCTCTGCCCTAGCCTTTCTCCTCAATTTCTCTGATTGCTTAGATGCTTCTGATCCATTTGTGCTCGGTGCAGTGCCGAACCTACAATATTATTGTACTGCAATCAGTAAGTTACAAACACATGGAGAAGTCGAGAAATGGTGTTCATCATCAACAACTGCACCTTTACCATCAAGAAATCTCTTCCAGTATAATAGAAAAAGGAGTCATGAGATTTCTCTTTAATCAAATACAAGTAGATATCTAACGTAATATTTACTTCATCCTGCCAAACTTTCCCAGGGTCCAATCCAAACACGCAGACATGTTTAGTAAGGTAACTAGGTAAGATTATGATGGGTTGAACTAATCTCTTGAGAAATAATGGATAAATTGGCTAAATTTAAGACAACCATTTTGAGAATTATGAGCTATTAAGAGATCCTAAATAACATAGATCGAGATCTTAAAGTGGAGAAAATTCAAGAGCATTAACCTAAGCTCATCATAAATACAAAAATTGCAGTTAAATAAAATTATTAAAATAGTCATTTTCAGAAATAAATCAAATAAAAGAACAAAAAAATCATTAACACCAGATAAACCCTAACTATTACACAAAGAAAAAGGGGGAAATAAAGATGTTACCTTTCAGCCCTAGAATTACGCTTCTCTTGCTCAGATAACTGGACGGGTACGCCGAATCGCTCAGCTCGTCGAATCTTCTTCTGGACATTGTCGACGGGACCGCCGCTTTCCCCTGCAACCAAGGCCGCAGAAGTCTCGGGGGTCTTCGAATCCTCGCTCTCCTTCACAGAAAGTTCAGCTTCGGGATGAGTGAGATTGCTAGGAGGTTCTGACTTGTCCGTGGAAGGTGATGCGCCGGGCTTCTCGGTGAAAGATGCCATAGGAGTGGTAGGTCGGTAGGGTCGCGTGAGGAATACGAGCTGAAACCTAAGAGCTTTATGGTTTTCAAAGGAAGGAAGAACTAATATATTTCTTTGAAAACAAATGCGGGAAGTCAGAAATGACATACTTTTACTTCATTTATCATTAAAAAATTCTTCGGGGATGAGGATTTGTTTGATTGGAAAAAACAAGACTAATTTCTCGGTCCTTTATTTTGGATAATTAATAGTATAGGTGATGGTGATGAGTTTATACATAAAATTCGAGCTGAAATTTTTAGAAGAAGATACAACAATAATTAGATCCAATTTAATATAAATTTTGAAAATTCATATTTAAAAGTGTTGTAGAAACGAATTTTAGAGTTTAAAAATATTAAATGTTTAATAAAGGCATTATGTTGTAAAATAAAAATATAACATTTAAATTATATTTACAGTTATAAATAAATCATATCAATTTAAAATATAATTATTAGAAAAATAAACTATTGCAAAATAAGGCGTTAACACTGATTGAAAAATATTAAATAAAATATGTAAAAAGGATCGATTATTGTGTCGTGGTGATCCAATGGCTTAGAAATGAATTCGTCCTGATATGTGTAATCGCTACAATTGACGAATGCATCCGAGGTTAGTACGACTATCCAAATTCCATACACCAAAAAAGATGGAATGAACTTTGTGGTATTGTTTTTATCTCAAAACTTATAGCGATACTCCGAATAGATTTTTAAAAATCAAGGAGAGTGTTTCTAAAGCAAACAATTGCTTAAGGATATTTCACTAGGAGTATCATCTGAAATGGAAAAATAAACATAGGGTAAAATGATAAAAGATCTTATAGCAATTACAAAATAATTAATTTTCATAAAAATTACTCTGATGACCATAAATTGTATTAAATATTTTATAACAACTATAAATAGTAAAATAAACTCTGATAAATAATATTCTATCAGAAGGATCTTATCTAAAAATAACATACGAATCGAATTGGACCACGCCAAATAGTTCATATCCAATGTGAAATTCTTTGTATTACTAATAATAATAAATTTAAAAATATTATTATATATGAATTACACCAATTTAAACTATAACAAAATATAAAAACAAATAAAAAATTTAATTATAATACAAATATATTTTATATAACTCAATATTAATATTTTAATATATAAATAATAAATTTATATTTTTAAATTATTAAAATAAATTATTAAAAGTAAATAATTATTTTTTTAAAGAGGTTAGCATTAAATTATTAAAATAAAATATAAATACATAATTAAGTGGAGTCCATATATTAATAAGGGTAACATTATACAATTTGCTTTCAAATGTAAAGTAAAAAATGAAAAAGTTATAAATCATAATTTTTGCGGTTGGTTTAAAATTATCGTTTCCATCGCAACTCTTTTCTCATTTTTTACCCATTTAACATTAATTTTGGGTCAAAATAGACTTTTAAGCTAAAAGTACTTTTAGAAAACTTTATCAAACGGACCGTCAGTGATTTCAGGTTTTAGTAAAAAAAAATTGATGTTTTCGTTTAGAATTTTGTTTCATCAAATTAGGATATTTACAAATGGTAGTATTTATTTTAAAGACTCTCAATCATTTAACAATAAACATTTTAATATTCTCCCGCTTTTGATGCTCGAACTTGAAACCTCTAAGAATAACAATCATTCTTTAAATCACTAAAATAACTTGGTTCATTTAAAAATTTTAAGTTTAAACAATTACATCTACAAGATAAATATATTTATCAGTCTGATAACAAATTCTAAATTTATAATACTTTATAATCATACAAACTATTAAAAAATAAAAACATTTGCAAGCTTTATAATCTTGTTATGCAATTTGTGTAATGAATATTTATCTGGGTAAGCTACGTGCTTAGTACCTAAATTATTAGTTTTTTTTTGCTTTATTACTTAAATTTTTACTTTTTTCAAAACCATATTTAACGTTTAGTTTGTTTCATTTTAGTACTTGTCGTTAAAAACTTAACGCGTTTAATACATAAACTATAAGTTTTGGCCCATTTTAGTACCTAAACTTTCAGGTTTTTCAAAATTAATGTTAAATTTTTTATAAGTACTAAAATTAAACAAAAACTAAACGTTATGCATGATTTAAAAAAAATAAAAGTTAAGGTATAAAAATGGACAAAAATGATAGTTTTCTATTTTACTTATTAGACATTGGCATAGATATTTAATCGATATTTGAAGTTCTCTTTATACGTTATTTTGTTTTTATCGTTACATCAATATTTGATAATCGGATTATAATACTTCATCTATCATTATTCATATTTTAACATTTTAAATAAGTTTTTTAAGATAATACAGGGGGGGGGGGAACATAGATTAGCTCATTGAGCCGTGATCCTCGGCAACTAATGTCGCAACATCATAAGGAACTTCTTGATAAAGCATCACCCTAACCGGTTTCCCATTAGCCATTGAAGCAAGCTTGTCAACCACCTTATTCACCTATCGACAGATATGTCCAACCCTCGAAATCCAACTCCTATTTAAGAGCTCACAAATCAGAAAGACAACAGTGTTCCCACTATCTTCATTGGAGTATCGGTTGATGAGATTTACCGCCATCGCACTATCCGTTTCCACCTCAATTCTTCTTGTTCCTAGGTTCCAAGCATGGAATAAAACATCATGAATCGCCCATAATTCTGCATTCAAAACTGAGCATATACCGAGACTCCGGAAAAATCTAGAAATCCATGTACCATGAGAATCTCTCAGGACTCCCCCAACTGCTGCCATGTTGCACTTTCCTCCCACTACGCCATTAGTATTGGCCTTGACCCAATTCTGGTTTGGCTTTTTTCATCGGACTACTGTAGCCCGCAACAAAGTAGCGTTGCTTGGATTGGTGTTAGCGGCAGCAAGAATTTCGTTCTTCAGTCTTACACTTTGGATTAATAAATCATCACCCTCAACAAAGTTTGGTTGAAAGACAATGTTGCATAGTTTCTTCCTGAATTTCCAATAGATAATAGGGAATAACAAGTCCCAGTGAGCGTTATTCATAAGAAAAGCTCTTTGTCCCTTCATATTAGCTAAAATCCGGACTTTGTTTGGCATCTTCATGAAGACCCCCATTTTATCCGGATCAATTATTCTTCGTCAAATTTGGAAAGCGAAATTACATTGTTGAAGGACATGGATTATATCCTCAACATCAGCATTACATAACGGGCATCTGGTCGTATTAGCAATATGATGTCTGACACGCTCCTCCTTTGTCATAAGTTTACCATGGACGACCATCTAAAGGAAGACTTTCACTCTCTATGGAACCTGTAGATTCCAAATACTTTTCCACACAACACTCTCGTCATTATGCATTGGTGTAGCCAAGCTGTTATAAGCCGACTTCACTATGAATTTATTATTAACTTCCCATCGCCACCTCGGTTTGTCAACTCCAAGAAAAGGATTCGGCGGGATGATAACGTCAATTTTCTGGCAAACCTGATCCAAAACAATACCTCGAAGCTTTTCCGAGTCCCAATTACCAGAAGCAGTGATCATCAATGTGACAGGAATCGGTTGAGGCATGTGGTTGTACAAACAGTGGTTAACAAGTAGCTCTGAATCGTTGAGCCAATTGTCATACCAAAAATCCGTTTCATACCATTACGAATATTCCAGGTAATGATATTCTTGATGTCCTCCCAGATACACATTAAGCCTTTCCACAATCTAGAGCACTTCGGGTGGTTAAGATTATCAGGGATATGACCCCGTCATCGATACTTACACTTAAGGGCTTGTATCCACAATTTATTAGTCTTCAACCAACTGCATTCCAATTTTCATCAGGAATGTCTTATTTTGATGATCTAGATCCTTGAAGCCCAATCCACCTTCCTCCACCGGTTGTTTCACTACATCCCATTTATTCAGAGTAAGGGAGTTAGAGCCGCCGGAAGCGTTCCACACAAATCTTTGGATATGCTTTTCTAAAGTACGAGATTGCATTTCATAGTACGAGATTGTCTGTAAGACAGATTTCACCACCGTAATACAACCGGCCAAAGATAAGGTCTTGGCTACCCAACCCGAGAAGCATTGTTCTACCTTCTCAATAATGTACCTATAAGTAGCAGTTGTGACCCTATCATGCAAAAGTGACACTCCGAGATACTTTCCTAAGTTAGACACTTCTTCAAAACCTAACTCATTAGCTATCATCGTCCTCATGAAAGGATCATGATTTTTTTGAAAAGAAGATATGAGTTTTTGTTGTACTTAGTACTTACACGATGACCAGAGTAAGCACAGAATCCCTCCATAACCTCCTTAAGCACCATCACTTGTTCTCTTGAGGATTCGGTAAAGAGGATGAAATTATCCGCAAAGAAAAGGTGTGATATATCATGTCTACCCCCAGAGAGAGAGATTTGCCACCAAGATCTGTAAATAACCCGTTGGTCAACAGCATGAGATAACCGCTCTATACAAAGTACAAAAAGATAAGGGGATAAAGGATCCCCTAACGAATACCCCTTGAAGGTTTGAAGCTCTCCAAAATATCCCAAATGAATTAGTGGCACTTTATAAGAAGATGTTCAAAGTACTGGTCTGTTTATGCTCTTATAGTATTAGTATTACATCAATAATTATTGTACCAGAAATTTCTAACCAGTGAAATAAATTCTTATTGTTGCAGGACTAGAACTGATGAAAGTGCCACCATCATATGATTGTGTGTGAGAAAGAATCACAATAAGCTGTGCTTAGATTAATGATTTGTATTCTCAGTTAAGCATCTATGGTGTACTTGCTTATGCCACCTATATGAATAAATTTGGTAGTTGTATTTAGACTGTGATTATGATGTATTTCAGCAAAAAAATTTAGTACCATGAGTCCAGATCAATTTGAATTATAAAGTAATATATTCAATGAACTTGTATTACTATTTTATTATATCTCAATCAACAGGATGACATTTAATTTAAACCGTCTTTAATTCTTTAAATAAAAAAAGATAAGTTTAGAATACATAAAAAATTGAGAAATCATTTTATAACTTTTAATAGTCAGAAGACTCAACAAAATAAATCATTCTATGCTTATTGTTACGTTAAAATTTTAAAAATGCAAAAGAACTATGAGGAGAATTATTTTTTTCAAATGTATTTCCATTATATTAAAAATCAAAATTCTAAAAATATGAATATAATATAAGACATTATTACAAATATTCATGTGAAATATTATATTTACTATCAATATATAAAATAATTATTTTTATAGAAATTTATGGCAATATTTTTGGGAAATATCTAAAAAAACATACTTGCATAGTATATTTTAACAAAATCATATATAAATTATATATATATATATATAAATATATATATATATATATATATATATATATATATATATATATATATATATATAGATATATATATATATATATATATGCAACTTAATAAATTCTACTTACATCGCATTTTAAGTGGCCTTCTTACCTAATAATAATTTTCGAGCATCGAATATATATACTTTCAATGAGCTTTCTAATGTGGCGGTCAATGGTGCAGTAAGCTATTAGATGGCCAGGTAAATTTTTTGTTACTCACATTAGTGATTGTTAATATTGAGTGATCTAATTATTATAAATAGATAGCGTTAGTGATCTTTTTATATCTTTTAAGACTTAGGTGTGAAAAATTAAAACTTATTCCCACGTTATTAACCATTTGTGTAATTTTTCCTTTGAAATTTTGATATTAATCGAAGCTGTAATTTTATTTGCATTTATTAGTTTTGAACAGTGTACAGCAGAAAATAATTGTAGTGAAAAGACAGGACAACGTGCATTTAAATGATTAACCGACCATAAGGTCTACAAGCAGTGTAGTGGGGCCTACTCAATCAAACTCAAATGGTCAAACCTAACCTTACCCATTTGTGACTCAAAGTTAGTAGCTGCCTCTAAATCTACCGCTCCAGATTTCTTCACGTGGCAAAACAAAATCTACCTTTGTCGTACACGTCATTTAACATCAGCTTGAACAAAAGGCCCGCTAAATTAACACTAGAACCAGCAGAAGAGGAAACCAGCAGCTTGAACTAGGAGCTTACTCACCTGATTTTTCTTTAAAAAATGAATTTTTTGTTATAGCAGAAATCAAGCAACATCCTTAGATCTTCCGAACCATACGAATTAAACTTGAATTTTTGTTGATCATACAAAAATTAGAAAGAAGAAGAAATCAATCCCGGCCGTTGATCAACCCGAAAATGATGGAGTCGAACTCGAATCTCCTTCAATCTCACGAACCAATGAGGTACTTCAGTTTTATTGTTCCTTCATTTTCTTATTAAAGCTTAATTCTTTTCATGAATTTGACAATTTCTTAGTTTTAGTTTTCACTGTTTCCGTTATAATTTTTTTGGGGGGGGATCTTGCTAAACAAAAAAAGGTGGCCTTTTTTCAAGCTCTTATTAATTTTCTTTTGAATAGGTTTGTGCATTTTGACTTAAAAAGAACGTGGAGTTATTGGTTTAGATTTAGATGGATTTTTGTAATTTCTCTCACTGAAGGGTGATTCCAGGATGCAATTTTGCCTAATCATTTAGCACACTTGAAGATTGGTAGCTTTATAAATCCTGCTGTTTTTGGTCTAAATTTCGAGACATTCTGATATCCAACTTGTTTACTATAGTTAGTGATCAGGATCTTTGAGTGACGGGTCTTCTTTTATGATTTCCTTTTCCAAATTCTTCTTTGGTTTTTTTAGTAATCATGTGTTCCCTGGTTTAATATACATCCTATGTGCGCGATAATGTGGTTAGGGATGCCTATGGATTTGCTGTCAGACCGCAACACATTCAAACGTATCGACAATGCCTTAATATCTATAAGGTACAAGTTTCTATTAAGGTTTAGTTCTTGTATTAACTCGAAAGAGTGTCTCTAATGTATTATGTGTGGTTGGTTATGTTTATTTGGTAAATTGATATAGTAATTTGTTATACCAGGAAGAGGAAGAGGAAAGATCGGAGAAATGGAATATCTTCCTTGAACATCATGCAAAGACAAGTAAGGCCGAAGGATCGGCTAAGAGTAGACATGTCCTTAGTTGCATTGAGAATATGATGAATTCAAGGGTTAAGAAAGGAAATAATATGAAAAATAAAAATGTGAATGGAAGTGGAGACCATCTTCCATCAATAAAAGAGTCAAGATCTCCAGAAGGAGAATCTGAGGAAAAGGCCTCTGTCGATGAGATCCTAGATGGGGAAGAAAGTAATGCAGGCAATAAGGACTCTCGAGAATCTTTTTTTCCTTGGAAAGAAGAGCTGGAAAGCCTTGTCCATGGAGGAGTACCAAAGGATCTCCGAGGGGAGGTGAGGTTGAAACATCTCCATTTGTTATTGTCTTGCTATTTATTTGTTGAAAAATGCCCGTTTTGCTATAATATGGCTTGCGTTTGCAGGTATGGCAAGCTTTTATGGGTGTCAAGGCACGACGAGTGGAAAGATATTATGAGGAATTGTTGGCTCAAGAAAATGATGATCAGCATAGCAATTCATCTGGTGTATTCAGTAAATGGAGGAAGCAGATTGAGAAGGTCATTAAATGCATGCACCGTAGACTTCATAGTTCAATGTTATCAATTTATAGGTTCTACTTCTTTTGCTTTTGCATTTCTTCCTAGGCTAACTCTTCTGCTTATCTTTTCAGGATTTAATGCGGACTTTTCCTGGTCATCCAACTTTGAATAGGGATTCCTTGAGGCGTTTACTTTTAGCATATGCACGACATAATCCCTCGGTTGGTTACTGTCAGGTGACTGATTAACTGGCGCTTTTATTCTCTAAAATGAGTTCAACTGGTACAAATGAGTTAGTGTTAATTTTAATTGGTGTATCTCTTTATAACTCGCCCCAGTTCTATCTCTACCTTTATGTTCTTTATAATCTAAGAAATTTCTTTAGATTTATATAGAAATTATTCAATTTCTTATCATCTTCTTCGTTTCAGTCATGCCGTTGCTTTACAGGCACGGCACCAAGAGGCCATTATTCTGTTAATTGAAAACTCATGGTCCTCAAGAACAAATCTAATGTTCTAAAATTATGATTGTGTTTATGTTACATTAAACTTTTTTGACCTAAGGAGTGAACAATTTGCTCCCAAATAGTAAGAATATGAGGTTTTTCCCTAGTAAATCTGTTTTACCAGAAAAGTTGCAAGCCTGAACTTTTTAAGTGCAACTTGAAAGACCTAACTTCTAGCATGTCACTGACTTTACCTATGATTTAAATTTGCTCTTAATGGATTTTAACAATCTCATTTTTCAAGTGATTATTTTTAATAATCACACTCCTTGTACTTATTCTTGTTTTCCAATTTGTCATCAAACACATTCAGGCAATGAATTTCTTTGCTGGATTATTGTTACTTGTGATGCCAGAGGAAAACGCCTTTTGGTAAGTTCATGTAGCTTTTTATAAGATAATGTATTTCTGGAAGTGGCTATTTCTATCCCTGGAATTTTGTATATTCTACCCTAGAATGATTTTGGGTGTGCAGAAGCTTTTTAGGTCAACTTTTGCCTAATGGTGCTAAATTTTTATTTTTTTTTCATGCAAAATAAAGGTGTCGCCTTTCTAGACACCACATCTTATTCTCTTGTGCTAATTGTTATGCAAAGGCATATATAAACACATGCATACTCATGATACAAGAATAGCTAGGTCAGCCTTGAAGACTGATTTCTTCAATGTATTCTTAGGGCCTTGGTGACTATTATTGATGATTTCTTTGATGGTTACCATTCAGAGGGCATGATAGAATATCAGGTTTTTTTTAATTTTTTGCGTCTTTTTTTATGATATTCCATGTTCCTTCTCTTTTTGTTCACCAACACGCTGATATTGTAGTATTTTTAAAGAGATTTGCCAATTTACAACTTGTGATTGTAAATATTGGTATTTTCATAGGTTGACCAACTTGTATTCGATGAGTTGATGCGCGAAAGATTTCCCAAATTGGGTTTGTTTCCTTTTAAACATTCTCTATTTTAATTATATTCTCATGCTTTACATGAAATAATATTGATGATTTTTATTTCATCTATGTTTCTTGTGTAGTCAATCATCTGGATTACTTGGGAGTGCAGGTGGCATGGATATGTGCACCTTGGCTTCTTTCCATTTTTATTAATACGCTTCCTTGGGAAAGCGGTAAGAGTTAAAGTTTGCTGCAAGTTTGAGTGCCTTGGACTCTCTTTATCTGTAACCATGTTTACCTTGTAATGGATTTCTTGGTCTCCAGTTCTTCGCATTTGGGATGTACTTCTATTAGAAGGAAATCGTGTTATGCTATTTCGTACGGCCCTTGCTTTATTGGAGTTATATGGTATCAAGATTTTATACTTTTAAACTGAAGCATTTATGTGGATGAGGAATTCAAAAATCAGTCTAGTTACTTAAAGTTACTGTAGGTCCTGCCTTAATTACAACCAAGGATGCTGGGGTTGCCATCAATTTACTGCAATCCCTTGTCGGTTCAACATTTGACAGCAGCCAACTTGTTTTGACTGCCTGCATGGGATTTTTGGCTGTGACTGATTCTAAATTACGAAAGCTGAGAGACAAGCATAGACCATCTGTGTTACTGGATGTTGAGGAAAGAACAAAAAGAAGCCGGTTTTCAGAAGCATTAAAAGGACTTGCATATACACGGTACTGTGTAAAAAATGAGCCTGTTTCACTGCTGGAAGAAGCTAAGCCTGCTGAAGATTTAGCTGATGGAGATGAATCTAAGTTGGAGTCCCATTCCTCTTATCTGGATCAATTGCTTTGTAGCTTAAACGCAGATTTAGTTGGTTCTCAACCGGATATTCAGGAGCAGGTACTTCTCTTTGTCTTCTTAGCATTTGTACACTTCATTTCTGATGTTTCACAATGATACTTTTTTTATACTGTAAGGGTCCACATACCGCGGATTGTATGTGTTTAAGCAACTGATTTAATAATTTCTACGAGCCGTTGATTTTTGCCTACTTTTTTTTCACCTTATAAACTTTAACCAAATGTCTGCCCACCTTGTGGAAACTCACGAGAATAGTGAGTATTTTTATACATCTCAAGTGATGAATTACAGAGTCTATTTAAAGACTTGGATTACAAGAGTTTCACTACAACTAGGAGTGATTTAAAATACAAACCTTATCTTCTGTTATTAAAAGATAAGATCCTATCTCCATCACTAATTACAAATAAACTCTAATATTTACAATTGTAACAACTTACACACCTCATTTGATTTGTCGACCCTAAAAAAACAAAGAATTGGTATGGCTTCGGCATAAATAAGCACATGGAATGAACAATGCATGAACTCTTGAATGTTGATTTACGGACAAATTCGTCATTTGATTTAATGAAAGCTTAAAGATTTCTGTTCTTATAACCAATCTTCAAGGTTTCTAAGGTGTTTCACTTATAATTAATATGATGGATGTGAATAGTTATTGTGCAGCTTTTATCAAATTTCCATCATTAACAATTTACATGCAGGTTGACTGGATGAAGGTTGAGTTGTGTAGGTTGCTTGAAGATAAAAGAGCTGCTGTTCTCCAGTTAGTATATTCTACTGCTGTTTCTAATTTTATTCTGTTTTTGTGGCCGAGGATAGACCAGGATGAAACATCTGAGAGGAGGAATAAAAATAGTAATAAAATGAGGGGTCGAGATCTCATTGTTAAAGCCACCAATTTAAAATTAATAGGGACCTAAGAAGTATTTAAACCCAAAAATGGGGACAAAGCTTAATTTGCCTAATTTCAAAACTAATAGGGACCTAAAAAATAACTACTAGGGATCCTCCAAAATTCTTCATTACCAAGTCATTTGTTGCTTAGATAATTGGTTTTTAATTTTTTGTTCTTTTTCCTAGTCTTCAGTTGTTTTCAATTTCTGTTTCTCTGGCCTTCGGTTATTTCGAATAAAGAGCTTCACAAATTTAAATATAATATATAACTTTAATTACATAAATTATTGGTTTGGTTATATATGTGATGAAGATACATCATAATAATATTTTCAAGTTAAATATATATTACATTAATATTTTTTATATAAATAATATTATAAAATTTATTTTTAACCATTATCAATTATAAGTAATTTTGAAATAATGACATAAAATTTTAAAATATATTATTTGGTAGCTAACCAATCATATTCCCTGTACCTGTGGTTAATGTTCTTTTCCAGAGCTGAGGAGCTAGAGACAACCCTTGTGGAGTTGGTCAAGGAAGATAATCGACGGCTATTGAGTGCAAAGGTAAGATGTAAAATTATTTCCTCGAATATTTTAGACCTTCCCGGCACGTTGTTTCGTCAGTGGCAGTACTTCAACTTTGGCCATGTAAGCTCCGGGGTCACTCGAGATGCACGCAGGGTTTGAAATTTATTATTAATGCAACAGATTGAACAGTTAGAGCTAGAAGTGGCTGATCTACACCAAGCTCTTGCTGATAAGAAAGAACAGGAAGCTGCCATGATTAAGTTATAGTTTTTCCCCCATCTCTAATGCATAGTTCTTATTCTATTTTGAGCTTTCAAGTGATTTTTATGTTCTATGTGCTACAGGTTTTGGCACGGATGGAGCAAGAGCAAAGGATAACTGAAGATGCTCGCAGAAACGTGGAGAAAGATGCAGCTGCCCAGAGATTTGCAGTTACCATGCTTCAGGTTCTCTTCTGTTCTTGATGTAATTGGAACCAATATGTACCAATAAATCATTACAACTGAATTTGAAGACTCAAATTTCATAAACTCGCTTCACTAAAAAAAATTTCAAATAAATGTAAATCATAAAATAGGACTCTTCCACTCGACTCGTTGAAATGCTCACCTCCAGTTAAGGTGTTGAATAGTTCATATATTTTTCCAAATTCTCATCAACATTTTACTTCAATTACATTATACGCCTTATATTTTTCTCTAAAACAATTCTCCTGTTGGCTGAAGATGATTCTGTAATTTAACACCAAACGCTTAACTATTTGGAAATTGTTTTCTTATCTCATGATATGATGTATCTTCTTTTACTATTTCAAATCATTCAGCATAAGGAGCTAGGTATGTTTTATTCCTAACTGAGGTGTCACATCTGATTGCTACTTTCTTTTCTGTGATCTGATCATATCCAGCATCCCACGAGTAGTGCATTATTTTCCTTCTTTCTTTCGGGACTAGATTTATACTCGATAAAAATACATACATACATTTTCAGGAAAAATATGAGAAGGCTATGGATTCTATTGCTCGGATGGAGAAGAGGGTCATAATGGCAGAATCGATGTTGGAGGCTACCTTGCAATATGAAAGTGGCCAAGCTGAAGCGCTGTCTTCTCCGCGGTAACATTTAAGATCTGTACTCTTCTAACATTGATTCTAATGTTATGATTCATATCTCCTTTTCTATATGTCCTTCCACTTATCAAAATGTTTCGATAAATTTTGAATCCACTTGATTCTGATGAAGAAAACTACAGGCTATGTGAAAAACAAAGAGCATAGGTACTTTAATCCACTTTTTAATGTCCTTCCTCTTACAAAGATACATGCTTTCGTAGGACACCACATGCTACACTGGATAGTCCCAGAAGAAAGGCGGGGCTGTTGTCATTCGGACTTGGCTGGCGTGACAAGAACAAGCCTTACGAGTTGGTCAGTCCGCGATATCTATTATTCATTTACATCTGAGATGATATATTTTACTCGAACTGTTTTGGAGCTATAAGCCTTTAACTGCAAAATGTGAAAATATCAACCTATTTCCTTGAAGTATAGTTAGCAGTGCTACAAATGTTTTGATATTTTCTATTAGGTTTAAGAGTTGAGACAATGTTGCCTCACCTAATTTCAATACCTCTGTTTGAAGCTTTTAAACTTGGGTTTGACATAGCAGGCCAAACTTGATTTCGAGGAGTCGACAGAACAAAAATCCGACCCTAGCACGACCCAGGAAGAAACCAACTCTGTAAATGAACAAACGCTTTTGAACTAGTCCTCGGCTGCTACCAAAGAAATCACTTATCTGCATCTGTTCTGGTATTTTATTTCTCTTTTACCTCATTTGTATCATGAATATACTGGCAATTACCTATAAGGAAATGGTCAAATTGTGTTAAGTATCAATCTGATCCCTAGGAAGACTTGAAGAAGTAGATTGGGTTGAACGTAAATAATCAAATGTGTTGCAGCATATTGCACTTTTTATTCAGTAAACAGAAGACTTCTATTTAATATCACAATTTCGAATCCCAGATGCAATGCGTGGCATGGTACTTGGTTCAACCATTCTCTATTTCATGTATTCAGTGTACGGAATAAATGTACTACAAAATTAGGCATCTGATTATTTTGTGAATATATTTAAATCTCATGTGCATAGGAAAAAAGCAGTTTCATGTATCTAGCTAGACTTGTCAATTTTAACCATAGAAATGGTCAATAGTTGTACTCGTCCAACGGTCAAATGAACTGATACTGATTGGTACTTAGATACATTTCTATAAGCCCTTCCTCTTGCATGGCTCAAATTTGATTAAATTTAGACATGGAAACTGGAAAATATTACTAGTTTGAATTCCTCTTTTGATGAAATGTATGAAAACGGCAAGTACACATATCACAACTACATGTGATAAATAAAATGCATGTGATCTGAATGCAGAGATTTTCGCCTTCAGCTTTGATGAGTAAGTAAAGTTTCATGGTTACTTGAAATATATGTTATATACAAGAGTTAAATATCAGTTTCTTTTGGATACCTGAGATAACATGTATTGGTTTTTCTCGTGATATTATTGTTTTTTTATTCGAGGAGGTAGACAAAATTGAATTACGTTGAATCTCATTTTTTGCGCGTGTCATTCTATATTAAATCTCTATGATACGATTATTTTTCGCTCGTAAATTTCTAACAATTATGAATGTTTCTTTTTCTTAAAAGATAAATTAAATGGTATTCAAAAATAAAATGTCATTAATTCCTAAATGATTTCATTAGAATTTGGTGTATGTAAAAAAGTATTTTCGTTAGTGTTGAAAAATGAGAAATATCTTATGTTTTAGAGATTTAAATATTTAAGAAGACACTCGATGGTAAAATGCATCCAACAAAAATGTAAAAATTTGAATACATTTCTTCCAAGAACAGTTGGGTTAATCCCTCTTTGGACTCTCCTTTGTTACGGCATATTGGTATTTCGAGATGGCCGATGGCTTCAAATGGCTATCATACCATAGTTAAGCAGTTTATTTCAAATTTCCAAGGATGTTTTGAGGATGAACTAACGGTCAAAAGAACACCAGAAACTAACCGACATAACATGATTAAAAAAGTTTTCGAAGTCTCCTATACAAGTTCATGAATCCACAAGCCAAATCAAATGGGGTCTTATTAGGTTCCCCTAATGTGCAATTTAAGTCCAGAACAACAAATAAAACAAACGAAAAAAGAGGGATGGTCTATAGCAATAAAACACAGCTCATCGAGTCTAACATTGTCTAATAGTCTAGACCAGTCCAGTCACTTTGTGGCATCAGCAAGAGGATTTGATTTATCTCTCGTTCTGCTTGTTTTCTCCATTATTCGTCACATTAATTGCTTTCGGATGCTGGATCATTTTTGTTCGGTGTTTGCCTCACGAACTGCCCTTTGATGCGAGGTCGTTGTTCTGCTAGTCGTTTCCTGCTTTGGTATCGAACCTGTAAAAACCAAAGTATTAAGGAAAAAAATTTACTCTGAGTTGCTGAAATTAATCAGTCCCAACTGTTTAAAAAACAAAGCAAAAGTAGCATTCGACTATTATCTTCAAAAAAAACTGATGGATGAGCCTATGCTTCTGTAAAATGCAAGGGGAGCAACCAGTTTTTCCTTGCTCAAACTGGAATTTGGAAACACAATCTTGTGTTTACATAATCCTAGCGCACATAATATGTGCATGTCAGAAACACATGAACATAAGCTAGTGGCTTGAAGATTTTTAAGGTAGATTTTGACTAGATTGCTTATTTATCATTAAACACCTCAATGTTAATTACCTTTTTCTGGAAGCATCTCTCTTTCCTTTTCTGACGAAATTTGGTCAATGCAGCTTCCCTATGAGCAGACTTGGTCTGGTCTGCTTTGCTGCTGCTGCTGCTGCTCCCGCTCCCACTGCCACTCCCGCTGCCACTTGCATCACCACTTCCACTTTTCCCAGCTATTCCGTTATTACTTTCCATGTTTTCCCCGAAAGTATTGACTGCATTGCTACTTGCATTTGGCCCATTGCTTCCATGGTTACTACCAGAGGTACTGTAGTTGCCAGCATTTCCTTCAACAAGCCCGCCCAACATATTCGACGACCCACAATAAGGAGCGTCCGCAGCTAGTTTTTTCAAAGATAAATCATGTTCTGGTGGCTGCTGCTGTTGCTGCATACCATGAGTAAGATGGCAATGTTGATCATAATGGTTTGGGGGGTGTTGCGTTTGCAGTTCTTGGTGCGTTCCTCTAGGTTGAGCCGGTCCTGCTGTAGTAGCTACATCATCACCCTTGTCTAACACAACTTTATGAGCACCACTTAAAAGGTCATTTGTCATAGGTTGGAAAAGAGTGGATGATACAGCTAGCTTGCCCATATCAATGTTATTGCTGCCAACATTTGAGCTTTGATTGGGAAGGTCATTAACCAAACGAGAATGATTATCACATACTGATCCTTTTCTAGTCAGTTTTAAATTATTATCAAGTGCAGATGAGCTTCCGGTGTTGACAACAGGAACCTTGTTTGCATTTGCTGCAGTATTATACCTGCAGGTAATAGAAATAATGGTCAAAACTAATTCAACAAATCATTGTGGAATACTTTTCTGGGATTCCGTTTAGTCGAATGTTCCCATGCATAAGTCTCTACTTTATACCTTGAGAAGGCAGAAGAGTCTGAACGTCTCAAAACATTTCGCTCATCCCTAACTACAGTCCCAGCATCTTTAACTCCTCTAAGTCTCTTCAACCCCAGTTCAATAGATGGTAGTTCTTTAGAATCATTGACAGTTTTATCATTGCCATCCGAGATTTTTGAAAGCCTGTTTGAAGCCTCATACTCGGCAATTTCCTTCTTAAGATCAGAGGTCAGAGATGTAATGCCTGTTTGATTTGCTGCTTCGGACTTCTGTTTGCTTGACGGGGCTTCACTATTGAGGTCCAGCTGCCTTTTATCAATCTTTTCATTGAACTTACTGGGGCTAATCTCAAGCAGGTTAATATGTTTTGTTCCAACTGTTCTGATTGGGACCTCAACTGGACACTCTAGTTGTAAATCTAAATTTCTAGGCATGTCCACACGCAGGTCTTTTCCCATTGCAACGTTGTCTGCAATAGAAAGGATCACAAAGGGCTAAAAGAAGTGGATACATGACAGTTTTACCATTAAATGAAAGAAAAGTAAAACGGCACTAAAAGATTAAAGATGTTGGCCACCAGCATGATACTCTTCAAGTTAAGCATTTAAATAAGACACTGTGCTTGCAAGCTTCTTTGGTTCAACTAGACAAAAAATCAGTTTGGTCATTTTCAGGTATGCTCAAGTAGCTAAAAGCTAAAGCTATCGAAGGGGCAGATACTTAAAGCTCAACTAGAGCAGTTCGAGAGCAGTTCGCTTGCCAAATCAAACCTTTCTTTTTATTTTTCATATATATTTATTGTTTCTATTTAGTATCAGAAACATCTCAATTTGAAGTTGAACTCATACTCGAGTTCGAGTCCAAACAATCCAATTTAAAGTCAAGTATGGGAAATGAACTCGTCTTTATTAGCTAAACGAGCCTAGATGAGCGAGCTCCAGTAGTTCAATTTTTATCTAGAATTGAGCTTGAACCGAGTATCAAAGCCTCGAGTTTCAAATTGAGCTCATGCTTCTTACTGCTTGAGCTCAATTGACTCGATTCAAACCGACTTTAAGCTACACATTTGAAATTCAGGTTTACCAAGCTGTTCATCTCGTCCTTGGCACCCCCTTGCTGTAGCCACCGGCACCCCTTTGTTCCCAGATACTTCTGCATTTGAATGGACAACTTGGGCACACGTACTATCAGGGCACTCAGCAACTTTATCTGAGGATGAGACTAGACGGGAGCTGTCTACTTCTACTGCTTGTTTTGTCCAAGAATTCTGCAAAAAGCAATTGCGCAGATAGTTTTCCACTACATATGCTTACAGGTCTCTAACAACTTTATGAACTTTTCATCCAAGTTTGAGAGCGATGAAGTTAAACCATCAAGGATAAGGAATTAGAGGATAAAGCCAAAATACCAAAAAGTGATTAGGATGTTACATTTATACATGATTAGCCATATATTTGGAATGAATAAAATAATTCGTGCAGACTATCATAAAATTTTTGGGTATCAAATTTGCATTTTGTCACTAAATCTTATTAGTGGAAATCTAAGACTAAAATAGAGCCAGCTAGGGAAAGCCTATCAAGAATGGAAGAGCTTGGGAGAAGGAGAAGCAAAAGTCTGCTATAGCTAATCCACAATACCTATTCTGTTATGTTTGTATCTGTACGAAATTCTTGCCAAACAATAAATAACGCTATTGCAGTCTTGGAGATCAGAACCAACTTGTTTTTTTTTTCATATAAACAACCTACGAAGCAGTCATATGAGCTACTCAAATTTTTTGATCTAAAATTAAACAGCTCTCTTTTCTTTAGAATATGTACATCATTTCCTAAGCAGAGGTCAGCACAAGCAGAGCTTAATGTAATCCATAACTTATAGAACTCGTCTCATGCTATTGTGGTTTCAGTGCAACATTGTCTTAAATTAAGCTTGAATGAACCATTACAACTAAAAACAAATATATTTAAATATTATAAATTAATATAAACAGAAAAATTCCCTCTGTGCAATATGATATAAATTAATGAAAGAATAGCAGTTCAGAAATCAATTAGCTAACTATAGTTCAGAGCAATCTAAGGCCTAAATTTCACCACTAGATTTAACCTCATAAAAAAGACCCTGCAACAGAAGGACAGGTTTGTAATACCTGAGTGCCACTCCCGTCATCACTACCATCTCCAACATTTAGACCATCGCCCCCGTTATTGTCCTCGTCATTGCTGCCGCTGTTATTGTCAGATTTCTCAACGCTTTTTGATCTCACAGATTTTTGAGTTTGTGTTCCACTCTCACTTCCACTACCACTAGACTGAGGGAGCAGAAAATTAATCACTTGGCAAAGAAAACTATAAACAAATAAAATTTAATCAAATTATCTCTCTTTCTCTCTGCTTTTATTCTTTATTTTTAACAAACTAGTACAAGAAGTTCTCCTAATCAATAATGGTCTCAGATGTTACCTTCTTCATACAATTGAAAAATAAACTAATGGGATATGCTTTTAGTCTCAAATATTTTATCTACTTTCAAGAAAATAAAACAGGAAGCAAGAAGAAAAACTTGCTAGTACATAGTTTGTAATCTCTACTTATAATAGGGAATCTAAATCTGACGTAGGAAGTCAATGACTCACACTATGGCATCTCCTCCAAACGTGTCGCCAAAGGTTCTTAAGCTCATTCTTTCGAATAGGCTTCACTAAAAAGTCAACAGCGCCTTTTGACAAACACTTAAAGACTAGATTCATTGAATCCTGAGATGACATCACTGCATGAAGATATCGTCAAAAATAGAAGTTAAAAGTATCTACTTGAAAGACCTCAAAGCGAAAGTAAGAGTGAAATGCTAGAACAATCAACAAAATTCATATATGACTGGAGGCTTACTGATCACAGGAACATTTTTACGTGTTTTGTGGCTCATAATCTTACTCAAAAGAACAAGACCAGATAAGGACGGCATTCCCACCTCAGCCAGTATAAGATCAATATGATTGGTCAAATCTTCTAATATCTTCCATGCTTGTAATACATTTGCAGCTTCAATAACTGGGAAAATCAAGTGAATATTTAGGTTAGCATAGGCTATATCAGCCCCAATATTTCACCAGATAATTGACAAGTTGAGTGTTCCAGAATGCAAAAAGATTGTAGGACACATTAAAAATCTCTCATATAAAGAAGAGAAGAATCAAACATGAAATAACTGATAAGAGATAAATAGGAATTGTAAAATCTCATCATTAAAATCTATCCAAATACCGACTCACTGATACTTGAGTGGACAAGAAGCAAAGTACAATAAGAAAACTTCACACTTCAAACAATATACATATATTAGAGAAATCAGCTTAATTTGGCTCTCAAAAGGATATATATATATATATATATATATATATATAGAGAAGAAAATTATCAAATCAGTCTAGTTAAGAAATCAGCTCTCCTTCCAAGTGGCATATATGAGAAATTTTGTAGCTTATAGAATAATGTGAACAGCCACCAAACCATGACAACAATATCCAAGGTATTCTGAGGCATAAATCTGTATTTTGCAACTGTTCAGCCAAAAAAGTGCCAGATCCTTGAAAGTCTTGAATCACTCACCATCATAACAGCAATTGCGCAGAAGTGCAGTGACAACATGGCGAGTAGAATCATCATTTTCTACAAGCAGAACTGTAACCGTTGTTAGATGCAGAAACCTCTGCCAGTAACACATTGCATTTTGAGGCTGTGGCTGCGCCATTTGCCGCATGGCTGGAGCCTGAACAGCCCTAATACGACTATCAACTACATTTCTTGCAATCTCGTTAACTTTTGGGTCATCTTCTTCCAGCATCACTTGTTCGTCAGCGACGACACCATTTGTAGTTCTCTTGTTACCATCGTAGTGCCGATGATTTAGTTCCCGTAAACCTTTTTCACCATCACTATTAACATTCATCTAGACACTTACCTGTAAATCAGATTAGAAAAGACCGGTAACAGAAAGGACAATCCAAGGTTGGAACAGTGAAATCCTCGATTCAAAAAATAAATAGTACATAGCTTCATCTTCGAAAAGGCAAACCTCTGAAAATACAGATAGTTCAACCTAAAACACGAGCAAATCACAAAGGAGATCCATAACTAAAAAAGTTAACAAAAAAAAAACCACCAAGGCAAAAATGTTTACTCCTTTTAATCTTCAGAAACCAATTCTATAACCCATAAGCTGTTTGCAACCTCTGGAAAACAAGAGTATCCCATCAAAATAATCAACCAGAATCCAACCATTAAGTTCAACCAAGTACAACTCCCGATATTTTCCTCACTTTAAGGAACAAACCCATTATACTACAAAGCAAACTTAATCTTACGCATAAACATGTAACCACAAGTTAATTTTAAATTATTAAAATAATTAAAAGCTTTAAAGACTTCTACGCCAAAACCCTAATATCAAGCACCTAAATCTGCTCCTAAAGTTAAAGCAAAGCTTTTCTACTACTAATCCAAACCTAATCAAACGATATAAACAATTATAACTAATGAATTGGAATTTTTGAATATTCTACTGCTAAAAATCCCTTTGCAGCTCAAAAAAGGAAATCTAATGGAATTCAATAAAAGGAAACAATTCAAACCCGACATAAAGCTAAAGAACTTACAGGTATTACAAATGAAGATACTAGTCAGCAAAGCTTCAACTAACCACCATTATTCAGCTGGACCGGAAACATGTTTGAATTTAAAAAGTATAATTGCGCAAAAATTAAGCAAATAATTAATTTCAAAGCGTAATTTCTGCATTAAAATAAAAAATCTGAGCTTAATACCAATAAATTCTGAAAATTTATTGCAGATTAGATTTTTTTTTTAATAAAATAAATTGAGGGCCTGAGAAATAGAGCGACTCGTAAGGAACAGATACAGGCGACCTTTTGTTTGGACGACGCGAGAGCGAAGAAGATATTATTAAGACGATCCCGCTGTGCTGACGTGGATAAAATGGAGGTATGGGTTCGTTCCGGAAATTCCACATCGGATAGCGATATTTCCACGTGAATAAGACTTTGGGGGCCTATGGGCTTGCTGAGCTGGACAAAATCAAAAGCCGCGAGCTCGAGTGTATCTAGAGCATCTCTAAAGATCTTTGAAATCTCGTGTGCAACACGTGGCGTATGACGAGTGGGGAATATAGAGACGAGGGGTTACGTCGTTTTTCACGGACGTCAAATGCGGCGTTACTTATTTGGGTAAACTATATTTAGTTTTAGTTTCATTTTAGCCGCTCGTTATTAAAAAAATAAGTGAATTATAAATTTGGTAACTAAATTTTACTATTTTTTCTATTTTATTCAGTGTACTTTAAATCTTTTCGATTTTTCGCTGAACTTAATACATCGGGGTTTTTATCACTAAGTTGTTAAATAGTTAACCGCGTTAATATGAATTGTTATATCGATGCAAAACGATGTCGTTTTGGTGAAAATTTTATTTTTCTAAAATGATTTCATTTTTAATGTTGTTAATTATTTAACGACGAAGTGACCAAAATAAGAGAGAGTAAAGTTTAGTGACCAAAAAATCTAATGTATTAAGTTTAATGAGAAAATTAAAAACTTTTAAAGTTCAGTGAGCAAAATAAGAAATATGATAAAATTCAGTGATGAAATTTGTAATTTACCCTTAAAAAATAATGAATATGCTCAATTATCATCATCCTAAACTAATATCATATCATCATTAAAAAATAAAAAAACACCATATCAAAAGCCTATCACTTTTATTTTCGTTTGACCACTCAAATTTTTTTCAAAATAATATCTAATATTTAATTTTAATTTCATTTTAATCAATTATTAAAAATTAATAAAAACATTAACATGTCACCATATATTAATAACATGCCACAATTGAAAAATTAAAAAAATATATATATTATATCAATATTTCTATTAAATTTTTAATTACAGATGCCTAAAATAAAATTAACATCTATCACTAAATGTGATTTAAAAAATAACTTAATAATAATAATAAAAAGATAGTTGTGGTGTTAAATATAGAGTTTACGCTACTTATTTCAAGAGATCTGTTGGGTTTATGCTGTTATCGTTGTTGCGTGGTCGTGAACGACGTTAAAGTTTGTTGTGTAAAATGACGGGAGTAGCCTTGTTATTCAAAATGACAAAATTATCCGCAAATTTGGCTTGAACTTTAAACGGGAAAATATATAGGTCAGTGTTTGATAGAGCGTGAGTGTTTAGTGACTGTTTACACGGAATTAAGAATGTCCTTGGGCTTCGCAAATCACAACCGTTTATGACACATCACAAATAAAATCAATTAATAAAAATCATTGAAGATGTTTTAGGCTTAAACTTTAATAAATATGATGATTCTGTCACACTCGACGAGATGAATATCATTAATGATAAGAATCATCAATTTAATTTATAAAATTTTAAAATTATAATACACTCAACGTATAATTATAAATTAATTAAAAATCTAAACATACATTATTTAAAATAAAATGTTAATTATATTATTTTTTATAATCTTATTTTAAATAATAATTATATCAATTATTAACTCTTAAATTAAAAACCTTAAATTCTTTTTTTTGATTTAAAGTCGTCGTCATTGTCATCGCTACCGCAATCATTTCCACTATTATTGCCATCACTGTTGATGTTGTTGTCGTCACCACCATTATTGCCACTATTGTTGCCATCGTCGCCATTGTCGATGTTATCGCTGTCGTCGCTGTTATTTGTCGTTGTGTCAAAACAATAAAAAATAATTTAGGATTTTTTAATTTATGGATTAATATTTGATCTAGTTATTATTTAAAATAAGATAATAAAATTAATATAATTAATATTAGTTTACGTTTATATTTTTAACTAATTTGTAATTACACGTCAAGTATTTTATAGTTTTAAAGTTTTATAAATAAAGTTAATGGTGTTCATCGTTAGTAGTGGTCATCAATACTCATAGAGCGTTGTAGAATTTTCTTAATAAATAATTACCGTTTACATAATCTCACTAAAAATATTTATTAAAACATTATTTTTTTCTTTTAAAATATATCATTCTTAATTAGCATGGATAGATACGATTAAAGTGATTCAAACAAAAATATAACTATTAATATTTTCTTTTAATAAAGTAATTAGATTTGAAAATTGAAATTTTATATTAATCTACTATAAGAATAAGGGAGCATTTGTTCAAAGATAAATATAAACCACTTAACGTTGAATGCTCATACCCTAGATATTCTTGATCCTCGAACTCAAGACCTCAAGAAATATCAACAACTCCTTTATCACCGATGCCACTTGGTTTGTGCGAAAAACAATAGTAGCATATAATAAAATAAAAGTTTAATATAAAAAGGTGTCTAAATTATATCTCTTTTCTCATTTATGTGTTTAAAATTTTCAGTTAATTTATGTGTTTAACGTTACTAATGTTATCAATTAGGTGTCTCATCTATCACGGTCGTTAAAAAAAATTCTATTATCTAACACATGTTGTGTTTATAAAATTTCAAAAAAATTATTTAAAATAAAAAAAAAAACTTAAAATTGTAATGTTTTAAAAAAGTCAAATTTCTCAAATTTTAAAAAAAAACTTTTAACTTTGAAAACTCTAATTTCAATTCCTTTTATCCAAGTCGGTCGTTGTTCTCTATTGACATTTTCATTGATCGAACAATCACCCGACGGAGGAAAAAGGGAAAATTCACAAAGGACGACGACAAAGGGAAAATTTGCGACACCCTAGTGGCGTAAGCACTCCAATAAGAATAACAACACCCGACAAAGGAGACGATAAAGGCAGTGAAGATAACGATAGTCGTGGACATGACTGGCAACTGAGATGTTAGGAAGGGATGGATTTAGGGCTAGAAGTTTTTAGGGATTTTGATTTTTTATATAATTTTAGAAAAAAATATGATTTTTTAAATATAATAATATTTTAATTTTTTTAAATAAAATTTCCAATAAAATATAAAAAAAATGACATGTGTTAGATCGTTATTATACAAACATTCAAAATGTATATTAAGAGAAAAAATTAGACCTAAATAAAGAAAAGATATATAATTTAACCATTTTTATATTAAGCCGAAAATAAAAATAATAGTGAAAGGTATTGTTTTTCAAAAGGATGTGAAAAAAATGTATGAAGAATGAAGATGCGATTTTTTCTCATCCTGAATCAAAGTTGGACAACACAGCAACATTGGACGATACATAGAGTTAGAGTGACATCGTTTAAATTAGTAAATTTAGCTTCGATGAAGCTGCCAGTTCCCTCTCCCTAACCAGGAATAGACACGTCTAATAAAGCTTTTGATGAAAACAACTACCGACAACACTTCACGGGGGAGAAACGGTTTTAAACTCTTCGCATGAAAACTTGATCTCCGTGTTTAATGCACGCACATGGCACGACTGTGATTAGGGATGTAATTGAGTAAGTATCCGGGAATCCGATCTGATTTAAAAATAGGTAAAAACCCAATTGAAGTCTCTAAACTTTTAAAAAAATCAATATGACTATCATTCTATTTTTTTTGGATCGAAGTGACCCTCCAACTTGAAAAAGAACTCAATGTGACCTTTTGACCAACGGTTCCACAAATTCCAGCTGCTATAGATTGGGTAAATTCATCTTCATTACTCAACTATTTACTTCTATTCTATTTTGGTCACTAAACTCTAAAAATTTTCAATTTCAGAAATCCTAAAGACTTCAGGGACTAAGGTTGTAGTTAACTCATTTTACCCCCAATTTCTCTAACTTCTTTCCTCTCCTCCGCCGCCGCAGAGCAAAGCCTCATGATATGGTGGGAAAACTTGTCTTTTGAACACCAGCAGTTTTGTGTTCCCCAACAATGGCGTGATGGGATTGGCTTCAACAGGGGAACTGGTGGAGGATGCAATACTCGTGATGGGAACTTGTCTTTATGTCATCCGTTTCTCTTCCCTCACAGTTGAGTTCCTCTATCGGACACCCACAAAGGTTCAGTCTTTGCTTATCATCCTCAAACGGCGTCGTGTTAACCAGCAAGCCATTTTCGGGATCAAAACAGCAAGTTCACTCATTTACACACCCCTAATCATCAACAAAACGACTACTCCATCCATGTTAAATCCATCAAAGATCGGAGGAAGATTGAGTTTCCATGGAAAAGGGAAATAATTAGAGGCAAAACTAAGCACAACAACGGAGAAGAACATGAAGAGAGAATTATATTGTAATATATATATATATATATATACGAAATGATTTTTTTCTGTTTATTAACATATCAATGTGTATTAATAAACAATTTTATTTCGAAAGCATGGGAAATTGAAAATAGAAAAATTCTTGTCAACACCATTTTTTTCGTTCAGGCGGAGAAAAACGTAGTACGATTTGGATTTTTTCTTTAAAAATGTTTTGAAATATGAGAAGTCGCCATCGAACATTTAAGTTAGGTAGTTCGAATACTTATAAATCGTCTTTTAAAATAATTTTTAAGAAAAAATCATTTTAAACGATTCACCAATTCAATCTTTTTTTGATAATAAAAAACGAATTCGAAGATCGTTTACGTGTAGGGAAAAAAAAACACTCCCACAACGTCCAAAATTAGTAATAAATTATTTCTAATAATGAAATCTAAAAATTCAAATATAAATTTAACTTATAATCCTATTATTCTAAATTCAACCATGCAATGTTTATTTAACGAAAAATTATAAGGAAAAATAGAAAATCTTTCAATATTTCCAATCGAAAAAAAAATAATCCTTAAAATACTTTAAGACGAATATTTCTCTTTCCGACTGAAATAAAATAAATATAATTATTTTTCCTAACAATTCAATATTAAAATAATTTTTATTCTATCAAAGGAAAAAAAACCAATTTATCCGAATTATATCATTAGAAAAGATAAGTGATATTTAATTATTTAAAAATATCGAAACTTAATCCCTAATAAAATTAGTCGAATTGTTTTGATAAGTTTAAATAAGTAAATATTTCATTTTCCCTTCCAACTTAATTAATTTTAATGCAATTAATTTTTTAGGTTTTTCTAGTGGATTATTTATTTATTTTAAAATATCGAAAAAAATATCTAGTTATTTTAAGACTGTCACTTCTTAATATTTTAAAATAAATAAATAATACCCTTAAACCAATTATGTAGTCAGTTAATTATGCTAATGAAGCTTTTGAACAAAATAAAATATGGTACACTACAGCATTTAAAGAAAAATATATAAATACACATATGGATAAAAAAAAAGTTTAGAGGTATTTCAACTTTATTTTACTTTATAAATCTACATATATTTTCTAAATATGATACTTAACATAAAACATAATATTTATTATAAAATATGCTAAGATGTAAAATATAATATTTATACACAATGTAATACATATAGTATTATATAAATACATAATAAAGTAATATATAACAATGTAAATGAAATAAATATCTAATACATAAAACATACTTTAATGGTAAAGTAAAACCACATACATTTGGATTAATTCATAATATGATGACAAAAATAAATGTATAGTAACTTTTGTATCATAAACATTAATAAAACAAACATCATGACATGAAACAGGAAAGTCAGATAATATGAGCCCCAAAATCGTAATAAAACATAAATATATAGGACTAAAATGAAATGACATAAAGATCAGTAGCCAGTCTCGAAGAAGTAATATATCAAACAGATGACTAAATTAAAATAATACGAAACCATACATCCAATTCGAAAATTATATAAAATAAAAATGAAATGGTGACCAAAGCGCAAAACTCGCTAAAACTGAAAGAACCTAAGACGAATTTGACCCAAAATATGTGTATTTAAACCAATTTTTGACTAAAACAATCAGCCCTAGCCGCATAACTCTCTTCTCCCTTATTTTCCTTCAAAATTGACAACACTCTTCTCCCCCATGCCCAGGTTCAGACGAGAACCAACTACCCATTAGACAAAGGCCGTAAATCGGCAGCAAACACCCCTCCCCAAGCCGACCACCACCACCGGTGGTCCGACCAACCCGAATCCTTCAAAACCACTCGAAAACTCTTCCTAAAATGATCTCTAAGACCCTGATTTGGGGTTTGACGATCTGAAGACGAGAGCCAGCTCGACGAGTACTCCTTACCCAACGACTAATCTCCATCTACCTCACTCCGGCGAGATCAAACCAAGCCAGGTAATAAACCACTTATCTCCTTTTTTTTAGATCGAAAACCTCCCCATGCATGTAACATATTGCTTGAAAATAAAGAAAGAAATGAAGTAAAAAAAATACCTCTTGTATTGCTTCAAAATATTTTTTTGGGAGTTCCCAAAACCCCCTTTTTACAGTTAACAAATGGGGTTCTTATAACCCAAAAAAAAATACAATGTAAACTTATTTTTTTCTCTATAGTTGGTTGATGCAGTGTGAGACATAGGGCCTGGCAGCGTGTTAATGTTGCGTGGAGTGTTGGTGTGCAGCAACAGGGCATGGGCGAAGGTAAGGTTACTGCAGTTTGTATGGTGGACGTAGGCAGCAGGTATAGGTTTAGTTGGTGAGCTCAGGTATACTGTAGCAGCAGGGTATGATCTGCTGTAGGTTTGGTAAAAAATTGGTGTATACAATTCTACATCAACTTAGACATTAATCTTTTATTTTTTTTCCCAGATAATGAGACTTTGCTCTGTTGAAATTCTCACTGCGGCGGAAAGATTCGAGAAGGAGAGGAAAGAAGTTAGAGAAATGAGTTAACTACAGCCTTAGTACCTGAAGTCTCTAGGATTTTATAATTTAGAGTTTAGTAACCAAAATAAAAGAGAAGAAAATAGTTGAGTGATGAATAGTATAATTTACCCAATTAATAACAGCTAAAATTAACGAAACCATTGGTCATTGACTGAAACTGTTAGTTAAAGGGTCACATTGATCCAAAAAAAAATAATATGAGAGCCACATTGGTTTTTGTTTTCTTTTAGAAAATTTAGGGACATTGGATGCCTTTTTGCTAAAAAATATATATCTCTTTCATTTAAAATTTAATTTAGATTTAGGATATTTTCATCCTATTCAAAATTCAATTCGTCTTTTAAGTTAAAATTTAAATTTGACTTGATTCGATATAAATATATTTATAAAAAAATTAATTTTATTTAATAAAATAGAGATCTAAAAATAATACAGAAATAAGTTTTATTGTAATTTTCTCTAAATACATTATATATAATTTTTGAGTCAGAACAAATACTTTTTACTTGAATTTGATCTGAACCTAATTTTAAAAAAAAAAAATCAATCTAATAAGATCAAGTCGAGTTAGAACCTATCGAGTTTGAGTCTCGTACCCGTCACTAATTGTGATCCTTTATGTTTTATAAAAGGCTTATGCAAAAATAAATGCTTAAATTATACCTTAAATTAACTTTAAGTACCTAAAGAATTTTTTGATAGAAATAGATATCTAACATTTTCGACGTTATACTTTTAGGTGTCCAACATTTTTTTCGTTATACTTTTAGATGTCTACATAATAAAAGACCATTAAAAGGTCGTTAAATGACACATGTTATTAGGGGTGAGCAAAACTCGACTCAACTCGAAAAACTGATTCTTTCTACTCGTCTCGACTCGAAAAATCTCGACTCGAATTAACTTCGAGTTACAATTTAATAAACTCGACTCGAAAAAATTACAAGTTCAAATTGAGTTGTAAAACACAACTCGAATAACTCAAAATTTTAATAATTAGTGGAGTTTATTTTCAAATTTGGGTCAAGTTCTTCGACTTTGTATGATATATGTATATCACATATGAAAAAATGAAGAAATATATTTGTATTGTATATCTGGTTATAGAAACTCACTTAAATTAGAATCAAATGATATTATAATATTATAAATATTTACAATTAAATTTAAACAAAAACTCAAAAAATCAACTAGACTCGACTCGAAAAATTTCAAGTCAACTCCGAGTTGTAAAATAGAACTCGTTAACTCGAATAACTTGAAATTTTTTTACTCGACTCTACTCGAGCGAACGCTTACCCCTACATGTTATGTTTATATTTTGGATTAATGCATAAATAAATGCTCAAACTATACTCTAAGTTAACTCAAGTGTCTAAAGAATATTTTGTTAAAAACATGTCTAACATTACTCTTCCATGTGCTTATACAATAATGACAATTAAAAAACTATTAAGTAGTACGTCATGTTTATATTTTTGAATTATTTAAAATTACAAAAACACCTAAAACCCTAAAAACTCTCATTTCAACCCATTAATGGTTGTAGTTGGCTATCATCGATCGCCTTTGCCATCGTCGAACAATCACTCACCCGTTATCGGACCCCATTATCAACATTCCCTCTTGTTATCATCCTAAACCCCTAAATCCATAAATTCAAACTTAAATCTTTAAACCTAATATTAAATCTCTAATTCTAAAATTTTTTAAAAAAATCTAATTCTAGATTTATCATTCTCACCCTAAATTAACTTTAAAGATGTACGAGGATGACGAAGGGGGTTCTAAAACAACTGGGGAGGGAGAAAATTTTTGTGCAAAGAATGTGGTTATGCAGGCGAGATGGAGAAATATATTTCCTTAAAACTGATATTTTAACTTCAAATATATATATATATATATATATATATATATATTCGTGTGGCACTATCCGAACGCTCTTCGTTTTGCAAATTTGGGGTTCTTCCTAAATGATCATCCCTCGCTGACCTCAATAGGAATTCCTATTGGGTTGCAATGAAAGAAAATCTCTATAAAATCAACCGGGATATCGTCACTAAACCAAAATTACTTGGTGGTTCAAGTATCCGCCACACGAAAGCGCTAAATCCAGCTCAACTTGTCAGGCTTTGTTGGCGACTTTTGCACAGCCAAAGCTCTCTTTGGGACATTATTCTTAAAGCTAAATACCTTCGTCGGATCAACTCTTAGTTTCTCCAATAAGCCTACCTTCTCTGCTCACTTTGTCATATCTCACATTGTATTAGACTTTATATCAAGTTTGAGATTCATTTCTAAACTTATTACATTTTGCATCTTTAGCTTTTACTTTGTTAATTCTTTTTCATTTTTAATTGAATATATATATATATATATAAACAACCAGCCAAACCTTGAAAAGGAACAATTGATTTGCAATAAAAACACCTGGCAGTGGAATCACATTAATTTGATTCAACTGGTTCTTCAGTTTATTCTGTGAAGAGATTCAGTTTAAGAGATCATTTTTCTTTTTCTTTTTTGAATTAACTACTGATATCTAATCTATTAAACCCCTTACCACAAAACTCAGTTTGTTTGGATGTTAAATAGATTCAGTTTATTCTGTGAAGAGATTCAGTTCATGCCTGTAATTTTTAAAAATTCAAGCTCCAAAAAACCTTTACCACAAAACTAACACTATTTACAGCATAGTAAATGTAAGTTACTTGTTACTACCAGGGTTCTTTCAAATGTTATTTGGGTAAAATTTTCCTTTATATATATGGGACACACTATCTTGGACTGCTGAAACTATGGCAGTCAAGAGCTGGTTATGGTTCCCACGGTTTCATTATTGCAGCTGTCATAACTTACTGCCCGGCTATACTTGAGCCGACCAGCTCGGCCAGCTGCAAGGATGTCAAAATTATCATTCAAAATACCCCAACCTACTCACTACAAATCTAAAGGGTGGCAAACAGGGTTCCCATGGTTTCATTATTGCCTGGCTAAATAGTAGATTCAGCTTGCTAATAATATGAGATCAGCATTTATCAATTAAAGTCGCATTATGAACACTACTATAACTTGCAGCCAAAATAATATTCTACACTAAGTGCTACGTAGCATTCCAACATTGACTCACAATGATTTTGCCGGCATTGAAGTAAACATTATTATTCCTCAAAGTTGTTACTGGATAGATATTCTATTACACAAAAAAACTCTCTTTGTATCTCTGTCAAATTAAGATATAGCAAAATCTCCTAGCAAGCAAAACTAGAGTGGCCTAAACTAGGCAAAACTGCAAGTATAATTAAAATTAAACAAATTTATTAGCAAAAGGAGACAAGTTCTCTCTTGTGAATGCAAAATTGATGAGCATGCCACACCAGCATGCAAAGAATATTAGACTCGTATAAAACTAAAGTAGTATGCAATACCTTATGCTGCAAGAGACTGCCTTTCCTCAAAATCATCAAGGTTAAGAGCCTCCAACAACTTTGGCCACGATTCAGGGATACCTCCTGTCAAATCAAATTCCATCAATCTTCCTTTATTAAGGTAGTAGTTCTCCAAAGGCTGACTCTGTGACCACAATTGAATTGTAAAGCATGATCACAAGGGAAAGAGGAAACCAAATTAGCAGTAAAGGGAACCTGAAATGCATATTTTCATTATCTCCACTCAATCCCAAAACTAATGTTAATTTCAAACCCTTCACAACATAACTAAAGAGTTGATAAAAGAATTACCAGAAAAGAATATGCAGCTTTACTCAAGGTAAGGAAAATGTTAAAAAGTAAAGGAAAACAAAAATTTACAGGATTCTAGGAGAACAGGAATAACATTCTTACGTTATGCTCCAACAAATTTATTCTCCATTCTGTTAACGTTGACACAAAACCTAGTCCAAAGAATGAATCATACCTTCTCAAGGTATATATGGGATCTAGCTTTCACCACTTCTTCTGTATCATCTGATCTGGTAATGAGCTTTGACATACAACTTGAGGGAGGAAGAATCAAGAAGGCGAGCCATACTAATTCCAGGTTACCCATCTTGACCCTTCACATTTATGGAAGTCACATCGAAGTTTTTCCCACACTGACTGCAAATTCTTCTAACAAGACATTTCTCAATCAAAACACTCTCCAGAAGCCTCAGATTTACAAACAAATCAATGTCCATTACTCCTTCCAATATTTCCTAAATAACAACAATATTTGAGCAAACAAATTGAAAATGGAAAGAAATAGCAAAAGTTAAATTATCACCGCTTGATTTATAGTTCAAGGAATACCATCAAAAATAAATCCTCACTTACCTTTAGTTTCTCCAGCTTCAAGTCTTTTTGACGATGAACTTATTATAAATTCATCCGAAACCGATTTTCCTTGGTTCACAGATTCCGCTAGTTGCATCCAAGCAAAAAAGTCAGAAAACAGATAAAGAGAACTATTTTTTTGAAAAAAAAAAAGACTATTAATTTCATAAATTCGTATACAGGTAAAGGGAAGATAATTATTAAACATTACTATAAAGTTAATAAGGAGGGAAAATAAACTAACTTGTTTGCAGGGTCCAGAGTAGGCGAGCTCTTCCGGGACGAGATCTCTGGTAGCACCGTGAGGGACGCAGAGGAGATTCGAGAGGCGGCTGGCGTGGGTTCCTTTGCCGACACCTGGAGATCCAATAAACACTAGTTGTATGTTCCTTTCGCTGGGATCTTAGTGCGTGGTCTTGTAGCTTCCGAAGGGAGAGGCCACGAACGAATTGGATTCAGTAGAAACTGACGAGACGGAGAATATAAGCATCTCCTTAGGGGAGAGAGAGAGAGCTGAGGCTTTCGAAAAGCGGGTGATGGCGGCCATAGAATGGAACAGATAGCTCACCCAGTTGAGCTTTAGGGTATTGTTTTCCTTTCTAGCCTCGAAACCCTAATTCTTAATCGGGTAAACTACATTAAGAGTACATTTTCACTTTTGATTTATAATAAAATGATCACGTGTTTGTTAACAAGCGTAACGGAAAGTTGAAACGCATGGTTAAGCGCTGAGTTGGTCCGTTGACCGGCCAATAATGGTCAAATCAAAACCCATTCTTCTTCATTCTTGCTCGTCGCTGCCGCCGTCTTCTTCTTTATCCTCTGAACATACAAAATACCAAAATTTATTTTCGAAACTTCATCAATTTTAAGAGGGATTTTATACCCTGTTTTTCAACAGATGATTCAC